AAAAATTAACTCATTATCTAGAAGCAGAGCAAAAAAGTTTGGAAAACATTGAAATATTAGAAAATTTCAAAATCTAAAAGTCCCAAAACTATGATGGAGTGAAAGAATGATGGACAAAAAGGGGTAATGCTTTGATCTCCAACCATTTTTTTTAATATGTATTGTTACTTGTATCGTGAAGGGGGCGTATCACTTCTGCCCAGCCCCTATTCGGGTTTCATAAAACCGAGTACTGTTGACAATGCAGTTCGAATTTCCTCATTTACTTAGTATCGTGAACATACATAATTTACGATTCTAATGTACAATGAAAAGCTCGATGCATAGATAGTCTGGTAAAGAACATTTAATGAATTATTGTTTCAACTCCACTACCCACTCTTAGTCTGTGGCTTATTTTCTTTAATAAAAAAATAAAAATAAAAAGTGATCTGACGTTAGCAGGTCCGGCACAATCTCTTGATTTAGCTATATAGCTTGATTTAGCTATATAGCTTTATTAAGCTATTCAGAATAGCTTGATTTAGCTATTTTATCACACTTTTTTCTTAAATGAGTTATTTTCTCAGAATGCACAAATAGTCGCACCTTGGTGCAGTGATAATATTCAACCTTGAACTCCTCTGAAAATAATGCATGTAAAGATCACTCAACAAATTACGTCTCCTTAAGAGACTTTGTACTCAAAGTTCTTAAAGTTTTGGGGCTATATAAAGCAATTGATACAGTTACTTCTTCATTGAAATTATAAAAGAGGCATATTATGGTCAACAAGATAATTGATTAGTAATAATTCAGTACAATGAGAAGCAATCATACTTATCCATGCCTCGACGCACACAAGGTGGTGTACAGTTACTCAAACAATGGAAATTCATCTTTTGCTTAAAAGTATTCAAATGCTGCAATGTTAGAACTATCTTTGATTTCAGTTGTTGTTTTGATAGCCCATAGTACATATATGAATAATCAAATACTTGCGATTTTTTGTTTATTTCTTACAAAAAACATTTTTCTGAAAAACTGCACATAAATAGCTTTATCAAGCTATTTGGAATAGCTTAATAAAGCTATATAGCTTTTTCAAGCTATATAGCTTAATCAAGAGATTGTGCTGGACCTGGTTAGGCCACTAACGTTGCCTTCCATTAAAATTTCTGAAAGCATGAAACATTTCTTACTGCTCGAATGAGTGACACAATATATGGATAATTGTTCAGGCTGAAAAGTCTGCCAATTCTGGCAGAAATATTCTGCTGAAACAAATATCTCTGCGGATGCACCATGGTTTTGCTTCAAGGTGAGGAATATGGCGACCACAGGAGCATTCGGAACTGCTGTGCTCGAGGTTATTCCGAATAGAAGAATAGGGTGTATCAAAATACCAAAAAGGATACCCAAAAGACCCAATGATGATGATGATGATTATAATAATAATAATAATAATAATAATGAGGGGTTTTAGAAATACTTTAAATAAGTCGCATCTGTTATGTTTGGTTCTTGAGATTTTTTTTTACATTTCAATTTAATCAGAAACATGTAAGGGAAAGCAAAATAAGTACATGTATCCAACCTCCTCCCCCCCCCCCCATTTTTGAAGTTGAAAAAAGAGAAATTATGACTTTAAACAGGATCATCTCCATACATATAGAAGGTGGACAACATTCGATTTACACTGGATGACCGTAAACAGTCTTACTCAAAAGGACGGTGCAAATGAAAAGTAATAACTTTTCTTTTGTGCTTTTTTGACAAGATCAGAAAGTTTAAAGATACATAGATAGAAGATACATTTAATAATTTTTCTACATCAGTCAAGTGAGTGTATTTGCCGAGTGAAACCCAAAATATACAAGAGGCCCATGGGCCACAACGCTCACCCGAGTCAATATGGCCCTGCTGTTCTTCATCAGCAGATTTCTTCTCCTATTTATTCATATGTAAAGCTTTCATCATCTGTTCTAGGCATACCCTACCCTCAGGTGCCATGTTTTGAATGAAATTGAATCTTAACTTTCTGAGGATGCTTCTACCAGGGTATATTCATAAAACTAATCATGGCTTTGCTAGTCTTGTAAACGGAATTTTAAAGATGGCTGCCACCCTACCCTGGGAAGGGGGGGGGGGATGTTATGATTTGAACAAACTTGAATCTACACTACCTGAGGATGCTTCCATATCAATATGACTCATCATGGCTTTGTTGTTCTTGAGAAGAAAATTTTTAAAGATATTTCCCATATATGTTCTTTTGTAAAACTTAGATCCCCCATTATGGCTCCAGCCTACTACTGGAGGATGCCTTGAACAAACTTGAATCTTCCATATCAATATGACTAATCATGGCTTTGTTGTTCTTGAGAAGAAAATTTTTAAAGATTTTTCCTATACATACCTATTTAAAACTTTGATCCCCCATTGTGGCCCCACCCTACCCCCGGGGGTCATGATTTGAACGAACTTGAATCTACACTACCAGAGGATGATTCCATATCAATATGACTAATTGTGGCTTTGTTATTCTTGAGAAGAAGATTTTTTTAAAAGATTTTTCCCATATATTCCTATGTAAAACTTTGATCCCCCATTGTGGCCAACCCTACCCCCGGGGGTCATGATTTGAACGAACTTGAACCTACACTACCAGAGGATGATTCCATATCAATATGACTAATTGTGGCTTTGTTGTTCTTGAGAAGATTTTTAAAGAATTTTCCTATATATTCCTATTGTAAAACTTTGATCCCCCATTGCCTCAACCTACCCCGGGGGGTCATGATTTGAACAAACTTGAATCTACACTACCTCACAATGATTCAACATAAGTTTCATTACTTTCATATTTCCAAGCACAGTGGTTTTTGAAAAGAAGATTTTTATATGATGCCATTAATTTTTCACAAATTCATAATTATCTCCCCTTGAAAGAAAGCGTGGCCCTTCATTTGTACAAATTTGAATCCCCTTCACCCAAGGATACTTTGTGGCAAGTTTGGTTGAAATTGGCCAAGTGGTTCTTGAGAATGGAAAGTTTACGACAACGCCGACGACGACAGACAACGGACAAATTTTAATCAGAAAAGCTCACTTGAGCCTTCGGTTCAGGTGAGCTTATAATAACTGATACCGACCACTTTCGCTACTGACCGAATTTGACCTTGACTTTAAGGAGCAAAATTAAAGAGATGTGTCCAAATTCAACTCTTGGTTTATTCAATGTGGGTGCTCATCAACTTCCACTGCGGACATTAATGGCAAGTAAACTATTTACATGCGTGCAGTGGAATGTTCAAATGTAAAAATTAATAAACCATTTCTAACACATATACATGTACAGGTCACTGTTTGTATCTGGTATGCAGGGTGAGTGGACCAGGGCAGGAGGTGCTGAATGGATGTTGGTGATAGTACAACTGATTCTGGTAGAAAGATTCAGAAGAACATTGTTCTTGGAAAAAAAGAATGCTGGTAGACGTTTATTAGACAGCAGTGTAGTACAACTTCAGGCAGTGACTGTTCTTAGATCCTCGGAGAAAGTTGCTAGAGAAGGTTGGTATGCTTTTGGGAATGCTATAAGTTGATTGACTTTTTTGTACATGAGTGTTATATGTCAGTGCAAATGCGTTTCTGTTCTATGGTGTTCCTTTTTAGTTGCTGCATCATAGATGGCAGGTCTTTCTGGGTTGTAAGGTTTGTTGTTTACAAATCTTGCTGCATTACGTTGTACTTGTTCTATCAGTTGCTGTTGTTTTCTGTTGTGGATTCCATATTGATGTTGCGTATTCCAGCTTTGGTTGCACTAAGGTCTGATAGGCTCTTTCCTTGGCCTTTGGTGGACAATGTCGAAAATCCAAACACACTGGAGGCTTTCTTGTAGATGTTATCTATGTGTAAGTTGTACTTCAAGTTGTCACCGTGTTCAAAGCCTAAATATGGATAGTGATCTACTATCTCGAGTGCCTCGCATTTTATGATGTAAATGAAAGCTCTCTTTCTTGTTAAAGTTCCAGATTGCATGATTGCGCACTTCTTCATGTTAAATTCCACTTGCCAGATATGTAGCTTCAGTCCACTAGTGTCTTTAAGTCCCTCTGCAGCTGTTCGACGACTTTTTCACCATGGGCAAACAGCACAGGCACTTGTTTCTGTGGCGGAATACTTTCTTGCATTTTGCTGTGCTGTTTGCCCATGGTGAAAAAGTCGTCGAACTATTTACCGGCGTGCATTTGATTTTTCATGACGAAACTTTTCTGGTTTCATCCGTGTCATGACGTCACACAAGCTAATTTATACTGACGATTCGGACAATAGCAAGTTTTTGCCCCCCTCGACATCAAGTATTTTCCTCGGCTGCAACTCGGGAAATGGTTGCCGTCTTGGGAGACAATAAACTTGCAATTGTCCAAATAACAAGTAAATAGTAAACAAGGAAATAGGTGTATAATATACATGAAAATATGTGCATAACTAACATGTACAGGTGTATAATATATACGTATGTAGTGCTCTCATTCTTAAATGTGCATCAATAAATCCTATGTACTGATGTAACCATCGTGATTTTGAAAAAGAAGGGAAAAGTAAAACCCTGTTACTGGTAAACAAGTTTTATTTTTTAAAGATAATCTAAGAATCCATGCTTGCTATCCCACAAAACGATAAATATTCTTCAAATATAACTACTGCTTATGTTCAATCTATAAGTAATATTTTAAATTTTTAATATTGGTTGTGATGGGTAGGGGTTTGTTTTGGCAAATGCACAATTTTATCCAAATTTCATGCATTTCAATAAAAAGATATCAACTAACAAACACATTTCGTTACCAAATATCTGTGACTACCGCATATACAATTCACCGAGGCTCTTGTAGGAGTAGGAAGTATGTAGATAACGCATTTGTTGGATCCGCCAATTTATTATTTCTCCAAGTGTTTGTCCAGCTCTTTGCATGACCGAACATTAAAAAAAATAACCTTTGAGCTGTTAATGTCGGAGTATCAATGTCTACAGAGACAGAGCTATGTTTTATAAAGTCATTCTTCTTCCATATTTCATTAAGGTAGTTTTCCTGGGTGAGTATGAACTTCGTTGCCACACTAATATGATTAAAGTAAATATAAAAATTGTCTTGGTTTCTTGAGCAGTGGGCACCTAGCTTTCGTTCTATGTATTATAATATGGAATCGTATTCGGCATCTTGTTCTTTTGATTTATCTCTAAGCATATATAAATGTACAAACATTTTTTGAGAATTCATTCATCGAAAACTTCAGTTTTATTAAAGTCAAGAGACATATATCTCATAGACAATATTTACAATCATATACATTTTAGTATATATAATGATGAGATTTACATCCAACATGTACAATATATAACGTAATGATATTTTCAGTAATTCATAAATTGGTCAAGACTATGTTCTTGTTGCAGACTAGCTTATGCCTTGATGTCTGTTTATGTAATATTGTTATTATTTCTATCCCCTAAGGCGCTCGTCTTCTGAATTGAGTGGGTTTTTGTGACCTGTCTTTATTCATGATTGCAGTGTCGCAAATTATATGCAGATTGACGGCAAATGCATGATTTTTTTATCGACTGCTCTATTATAACCTCTTAAATCTTTTTGTTTTCATACATCAACTTAAGAGGCTTAGATCTAACCTACTAGTAAAAAGTTTGTTCTTATTTCAGCATCTTAATTAATTGGATCTTAACCAGTATATACATCGACTGACACGCTAATGCATGACCGTGGGAACCGGGGGGGGGGGGTGCCCCCAATAATTTTGCCGATATATAGATTACTATAGTAAACATAGATACTATAGATGCTTGTGCCCCTCAATAAAAACGTCTGATGACCTTTTTTTCTTTTTCTTTCTTTCTTTTTTTTTTTTTTGGTCAAGGAATGTTTGGTAGTTGATGACCTTTTTTTGCTTGTCAGGAAATTTCTGGTAGCCTCCTCAACTGTCAACTGAAAAATGTATGCCTGTGCCCCCCCTCCCCCCACTGAAATTGCTTCCTACGGGCCTGTAATGCTGTTCCACAACACCATATCCACTAAAAATAATATTATCATTATCATAAAATGATATTTCATATACGGCAACCAACCACCACTGCCAACTGCTGCATGCTTACCACTGTCCACTACTGGATGCTAATGTCTTACAGAATTGTGCATGTGGTATTTCTTTTATTCAAAACTCGATCAAGATGAATTTAAGAACCTTATCCAAAAACCATTCTGAAGGAATACTTATAATTCAGCCTGTACTTCTTGGAATTAAGAATTTTGCACGCGCTTTAAACAGTACTAGTTAAAGATACATTACTGCAATAAGAAACATCATCTGTACATATACGTGTAGGCATGCAGTGGCAGCGTTTGATAGTTTTATAAGAGCAGTAGTTGGCTAATGTCATATATGGAATTCCACGTCCTTAAAACATTAATTGTAGTAGAGTATATCTATTCATGTTTTGTTGCTCAGAATTTACCGATGCACAGAATATCGCTATAGACGTCCCCCGGAAGACGATAATCCACGGAGAGGAGGATCTAGTAGTGGCGTGCTCACTCCTACGGTACAATGCCCTCCTCAAGGTAGAATACATTCAACTCTTCAAAAACACATCACAAGGCCAGGAAGAACTGTTGGCCACCGTATCAGACGAGGTACAAAGCCCTTTCACCAGGTCTGGAGTCCGAATCAGTGGCTCGCTTCGCCCCTTATGGTCGGCAAACCTTAACTTCACCATAGCGAGAGAATTCGTAGATTGTCTCGGTGATAGTGCAGGGTATGTTTGTTCGTTGAAAGCAACGGATCAACTGTTTAAACCAGTCCAGCAGCTTACCGAGGCAGTGCCAGTCTATATTGCAGGTATGCATACACATCTACCTCGGGTATCCGGGTATGAACATACTTATATCTAAAGACGGAACATAGTGCTCTATTATATGTAGCTGTAATCTAATTACACGCGAGTTTTTATTTTCGTACAATTTCATACATGTTTTTGCTTACGCCTATACAATACAGCCCGAGACATAATATAATTAGCAAATGATAATAAAGAAACATAATTCTATAAACATAATGCCTTATCATAGTACTGGGTATGTCTTTTTGGTGCGTAACAATGACTGGAGATACTTTAATTTCTTCCTTCTTATAAAACAATTTAATTATTTGTTTTTTTATTCCCCCGTAATCGAAGATTCGGGGCATATAGTTTTTGGCCTGTCCGTCCTTCTGTCTGTTAGACTGTCCGCAAAAACTGAAAACCTTTCCCATATTGAATTGAATTGAATTGAATTGAATGGTTGGGCTAGGGCTCTCATACTTCACTTGTGTATTTCTTGTGACAAGACCTTTCTTCGGGAACCAACACATTTGACCTCTGACCCTGGACTTTGACCTATTTTTGCAAATTTTTACCAAACTTTTGAACGGTTGATGCTAGGGCTTTTATATTTCACTTGTGTATTTCATGTGACCAGATCTTTCTTTGGGTACCAAGAATTTCAAACTTTTGACCTTGACGTTTGACCTATTTTTGAAAAACTTTAATCTTGACCATAACTTTTGGACAGTTAGTGCATTCTAGGGCTTTCATATGTGTATTCCTTGTGACAAAACCTTTCCTTTGGCACCAATATTTTTGAACCCTTGACCTTGAAATTTGACCTACATTTGAAAAACTTTAACCTTGGCCTTGAGCTGCCATACGGGGGCATCAGTGTTTCACAAACACATCTTGTTTTCTTTTTGAGTGAAATGCAGCACAGGAGAAGCAACTGTTTGTAAGTATATCTTCGTATCAATACGTACAGGTACCAGATGGTATACATAAATATGTGATAAATCTCTTTACATCTCAAAAAGGGGGATATAGGCATAAAGGGGTACTAGTAATTAACACGGTGCGTCTAGCCTTAAAACCAGTTTGTGAGTTTTTGGAGGGATGTGTTGACGAATGAAATTTGGAATTAATAAAACTTCTAATCTTACATGGTTGATTTTCCAGAAGAAAGTGCAAAATATAATATTCAGTACTGCACCTGGGCAAAAAAGATATATATTTTTTTTATTTCAAAGGTAAATTTTACAATCAGACAAACACAAATGTGGTGGTAATAGGCATCACGGTTGCTATATTGATAGTTGTAATAGGAGCTGGTGTGAATTTTGCGATCTGGAGGAAATACCATAGTAAGTATTGCTGGATTTTAGGAAAATGCATGATCGTTATCAAAAGTTTGCCATTTATGAATATATCTTTCAGCGATTAAATTTATATATTTATTTATAAATGATAATTATGAGCTATGATGCCTTTAAAATTTTCTTGACTTGATCTCTTTACAAGAACAAAATTATAATACTTATTTTTAATTTTTTAGGTGTTCTGAATAGGTAAGTATTTAGGGAAGTTTATATGTCGCACATTTTATTTTATTATTGATATTGCATGGAATAATTATACATACGTACGTCTGTAACAATGTTTTTTAATTAATCTTTAGGCATATAGACCATACAGAAAGAAGACAGAGTCAGTTAGAAGAAGAAGCACAAAGACAAGGTAATCTTTTGAATTATTATTGAATATTGCACGAACCAGAATTCGCTGTTTATAAGAAATAATATTATACTTTCATATTTTCTTTACAGATCTTGATTCCTCACTAAAAGGAGAGAGGTAAAAAAAAAAAAAAGTCAACTTCTAATTAAAAAAAAAAATCGATCTAACTCCTCTTGAAAAAAAAAAACAAACCCTTTTTTTATTTGAGTGTGCAGTGGAGAAACAGTTGAATTTCTGATTACAGGCCACACTACACAGAACTGAATGGCACGGACAAACAGGAAACATATGACGTCCTACATCCGTATCTGGAACCCATCTCATCACGTGACAGTAGTTATCATTATGTCAATAATAAATTAAAGTGACGTGTCATATTTATTGCGTTTCTTTTGATTGATAAGTCTTCAGTTTATATTTCTATGAAGAGTGGGGGATTAAAATGACAGATGCATTTACCACACGTATTTTCAATTTAAAGTGACATATCGGCAAAAGGCAAAAAATTATGTTAAATGAAACTAACATTTTGATATGAGTTTGAAGCATAAAAGTGTGCGTATAGTTTTAAAATATTACTATTTAAATAACATACTTCATGTTGTGATTTATTGATGTCCATCAAAATGGATGCAGTTAGAAAGTTAAATTTACACTAAGATATAAATGTGATGATGGACCATGATTTAAAACGAAAGAAATTAAAATATATCACATAATTAAGTTAACAAATCTTTATTTGTTTTATCAAATCTTATTATCTATAAACAATTGCGAAACGGTACATTCGTAAAAGGAATGTGGTGTTTATGATTTGACAAATAGTAAATCAAGTTAAGTCTGAAGTTTTAAGAATTCAAAGCCTTTTAGGATCAATCTGTGGGTGAAAAAAAATTAAAAGGCGTAATTAACCGCTTTTTTAAAAGGCATATTAACGCGGAAAAGGAGTAATAACGCCAAAAAAAGGAGTTATAACGCCATAATAAAGGCGTAATAACGCGAAAAAAGGTGTTATTACGCCTTTTTAAAAGACGTTATAACGCATTTTGAAAAGACGTAATTACTGATATTTAGAGTACGAGTTTCCTACTGTATCCGGAGATACAGGGCGGGACTTAAGGCGAGAGCGACATATATCGGATATTGCAAAACAGAGATTTTTTTTAAACCGCCGCGTTTTACAGAAGAAAATGCAGCTAAAACAACCCGTTTTTTCCTTAAATTCCAATATGCCAACAAAGGAATTGACGCAATTAATTTAAGTAATATTCTTAATCACAAAAGGGTCCAGTCTTGTATTCCACCGTATTTCAAGTTGAAGACTACACCTTGTATTTCCTACAAATATACATCGACTATTGCTTCCAAACTTTAATTACAAGAAAACTTTAAAGGGACTGGATAGCGAATATCTGAAACATAATCCTTCGTGTTCATGTCCTTCTTCACCCTATAACTATAGTCCTGCTGGACACGTTATTACTGGTGACGTAAATATAGTTAATAACAAGAAAACATTGATGTAACCATCAATTGTCGCCCGGGAAATAAATAAAGTAAACAATGGAAATGAGTCTTGATCATCAAACCGCTTCGATATGTGTGAAAAAGGCATGCGTCTACATGATGGAGACGATAGTCGAGAATATTTTGAAAACTTATAGTCGGATGAAAATCGAACAAAAACGATACCCTTTTAAACTTTATCAATTCCTCAAGTAATGCTGGCTGCATAAAATATAATTTGAAACCAGACACATGCATCACCTATTTTCAAAAATGTCTTTCACTTAAAGAATATAAAACACGAACTATGTAAAGTACTTTTTTACGTTTTTATGCGATAAGTAAAATTCGATGTTCCAAAAAAAGGGACCTGTCGTTTTTTCGATAGTAAATGATAAGCAACTTTATATATTAAATATGAAAAACATATATATTTTTACAGATTCACTTTATGGAAGTAAATATATTGTGTATCTCGTAATTTATAAAGGGAAAGAACATTCTGATTAACTATCTTTTTAATGTTTAGAAAACCTTTAATTCTGAATAACTTCTCCCACCTCAATCCCCATATACCAACACTTAAACTTATATGTATAGAGCAGCCCGGTCCTCCGGGCTGCAATGAGGACCTTAGATCACAAATTTTAAAAGGTCCTAAATAAAGGGAACACCGATTATTTAACCGGCGTCGTAATTTCATAAATATGGATTCTTTAGATTACGCCAGGCGTTGGGCCAGACATGAAAAATTTGTCAGAATGGATTAAATGTATCAGATGTATGTTAAAATCTCGCATTAAGCGATTGAGGGGCAATATGAAAACCATCTATCCTTCTGTATTCAATAATTCAGAAGTGAAAAAAAAGAATTAGATAGATTACACGATCAGTACATGTACGTACTGGTCCATGCTGACAAAGCAGGAAACAACATTGTCTTTGTTTGTAAGGCTCATTATATAAATTGTATTTTAGAGGAACTGGGATTTAATTCTACAAGTGGTAATCCAACTTATAGTCTTATACCCATAGCTCCCTTTCTAAGGAGGAAATTCTTCAAAATCACGTCAGTAATCATCGTCGCAAACCACGGCTAAAATGTTCGATCCTCTCCCATTCTGGCCACGGGTAGGAGAGAGCTACTAGTATATGCGGACTCCGGGCCGTGGCTTGAGACGATGATGTCAGTTTTGAATATTTTTAATATTCCCAACAACCAAAATGAATTTGAATTACCATATCTATATTGATTCCGAAACTTCATAAAAATCTCTAAAAACAAAAATACATAGCGGGTTCCAGTAAATGTTCTACCAAGCCTCTTTCTTTACTCCTCACTGGGATATTAACAGTAACGAAGGAGAAACTTCAAGAGCACTGTGCAACAATATATTCGAGAAGTGGTGTAAATCAGATGTGGATACTAAAAAATTCCAAGGAACTTTTGGAACATTTGAAATCACAAAATTTTACCAAAATCAACAACATAAAAACTTACGACTTTTCAACTTTATATACAACTATTCCCCTCGATAAATTAAAATCCAGACTTTCTGACATCGTTGACAGCTGCATTTTCAATAAAAACGGAACTCGTAAATTTACTTACCTTGACATTGTTCATTTGCAAAATTACTTTGTTAATAAACAATCTAATTGTACACACAAGTACTCTGAAGTTGACATTAAAAAGATGCTCGAGTTTCTGATTGACCATATCTATGTGGTGTTTGGAGACCAGGTCTTCCAACAATCTATTGCAATTCCCATGGGTACCAATTGCGCCCCGTTATTAGCAGACCTATTTTTTGTATTCAAATGAAGCAGAATTTGTTCAAAATCTTTTACGTGAAAAGAAGAAAACAATTGCTGTGACCTTCAACTCGACATTTAGATATATCGACGACGTATTGTCAATTAACAATGGTTATTTCCATTCTTATGTGGACACGATATATCCCGGTAAGCTTGAGATAAAAGATACCATAGAGTCTGACACATCTGTTTCATATTTGGATATTTTATTAGAAAAAGACATTAATGGTAATCTAACAACCAAGCTTTATGATAAACGTGATGACTTTAACTTTTCAATCGTCAACTTCCCCTTCTTATGCTGCAGTATATACACTTATCACCTGCATACGGGGTTTATATCTCTCAGTTGATTCGATACGCCAAAGCATGTCCTACGTATGAACAATTTCTAAAACGAGGTAAGTTATTGACAAATAAGTTGATGAAACAAGAATATCAGCAGTCTCGTTTAAAGTCATCATTTCGTAAGTTCTATGGTCGATACAATGACCTTGTCAGCAAATACAATCTATCATTAAGTCAAATGCTGACTGACTTTTTTCATACTAATTGTTAGGCCATTATTTACACACTGAATTGTCGATGGATTTTTCCGTTATTTTCCCGATCATGACAAGGAACACACGGCGGGTGTGACCGGTCGGCAGGGGATGCTCACTCCTCCATGGCACCTGATCTCACCTCTGATGACTTAAAGGTCCGTGTTTGCTCTGCTCCTATTTTGTTATGTTTAATTGATTTTTGAGCTCGAATACCGTTCGTTATCTCCATATATTTCATACAGTAGGAAACGAGTATTCTAAATGTCTTGTGACATGACATTTCTTATGACCTCACTAATTTACATGTGTATTTGTGTACATATCTCTCAACCAGTCAGGTGATTTTGCAGAAAGTTGATTTAGTACCGAATTTTTTTAGCAGTCGTAGTTGAAATGCCAAGTGAGGTGGACTTGCAGGTATTTATCAGTTTAAATAATTATTAAAAAAAAATGGCGCGCTTCAGCATTTATCCACACGTAACGATCACGCTCATAGTGTCAGGGCTGATTATGAAATACGATTTACCAGTTTGGACAATTTATTTTTAATTTTGTCAAAGAGACCCAGGCATTTATGAACTACCCAACTCCCTCCTTTCTAAAATTTTTGAATCTGCCACTGGTAACTATATAAATGTTGTAAAATTCTATCCTAAATTCACCTCAAGGCGTCTTTTCACCTCTCTGTAAGAAGCTTTAAAAATATGATATAATTATCATGATATATCAGAAGCTTTCAATATATGATATATCAATTAAGTATAGGTATGGTAGATGAAATGCTCCTCATTGAGATTTATAAGTCTGTCTGTGGAGTTGCATGAATTTAATAAATCCTTATTTGAATTCAGATATTCTAAAAATAAGATAAGAACTGACAAGATGTGCCTCTTTCTCAGTTTTAACCCCCCCCCCCCCCCCCCACACACACATGTACACACATGTAGATTTAAAATACATTTTTTATCACATGTCTCAAAATTATTGAAAGGAAAACAAATGAAATGAATATTTACAATGAAAGTTACATATATTACCAAATACTCTAAATATCTAAGATTTTATATCATCTATAGTATTTAGGGGATTCACGCCTTTCCGGTCATTATATTTATCATCAAAATAGAGGTCATGTGACACGGAACTGAAGAGCCACCATCTTGAAATGAATCAGAAGAGGAATTGATAAATAAATGGTGTTAAACCCCAAATTTCATGTAATTTATACTATCAGATACAAGTATTGCTTAAAAACGTAACATCCATGTCTTCAGGCAATACGTTACAGGTACAGTATTTGCTACACCTTGAAAGGTCAATGTAAACTCGGTTCCTCGCTGCTTGATGATTACCTCTTTAGTGTATTTGGAAATCGTGTGATAATGTATATATGACATTCCTGTATAGCTTTATAATAAAACACTTATTGCAGTCCATGTATCAGAAAACTATTTATTACACGAGAAGCATTGTCGAATTTATAGCATCAGTTCAATTTTAGAAGGGAAGCTGTCCATTCTGACATGCATCTTTATGTGGTGATTATGTTATTATTATTTTTTTTTTTACATCATATACCACAACTGCATTTATCCACGATGACATCAAAAGAAGGCACATTAAAGTAGAGCAGAAAAAATGGCAGAGAATAAAAAATATATTCTTTGGTTTTACGTACACATTATCCATGCATATTTTTTTCCCACTTATATTGCAATCTTTCATAACAACAAAGTTTGCACAAATCTTTACACGAATACTTATAAAACATAAGAAAAGTGAACCTTAGTTCCAGAATGTATTTTTAGAACTGCTTAGCATCAAAATTTGGAATACCATTAGCAATGTCTATTTTTAGATGTTTCTGCAAGTCCCATGATTTGCATGTGATATTGATCAAAGAAATGAGCATGATTATTCCTAATAACTACATTGGTGATCAGTTTATGTGTATATAGGTGTTGCTATGACTCAGTTCAGAATATGTTTTATGTGCTGGATGAGAAAGCACACTCTGTCAAAATTCGGCAGGGGAGAAGGTAGTGCTATCACATGCACTCTTGACAATTTCCAACATGAATTCTGTTTTTCGGCCATATGTAAATGGGCATGGAGCATATGTTCCTGGCACTGCTTTACTTGTAAGAACAAGTTATATTGGTAGTTTTAAGTACATTAGTTGTTAAAATGTGTAAATGATTTATTTAATAACTGCTGATTTCCATCCATTTGCAGAAAGCCATTGAGCTTGTTACAAAAGCCACAGAAGAAGACAAGAATAAGAATTATGAGGAAGCCCTACGGCTGTATGAACACTCAGTAGAGTACTTTTTACATGCTATGAAATGTAAGTACATTAACCGTTGTAATATTTTGATGTTATGTATAATGTAATGCCAAATTTCTTTTCCCTAATTGTCGTTTAGCTTTTATTATATATATGTGTAATGAATTTTAGATGAGGCACAGAGTGAGAAAGCTAAAGACAGTATCCGAGCCAAATGTGCACAATATCTAGACAGAGCAGAGAAACTAAAACAATTTTTGAACAAAAAGTCAAAAAAGCCAGTAGCTGATGGAGAGGGATCAAACAACAAAGGGTTAGTAATTGTGTGAAAAGATCAATTCATCCCAGGAAACATATAATGAGATGGCAAGAGAGAATAAATCATTGTTTTATTGGATTTTAGAAAATCATCAAAGAACAATGACTCTGACAGTGATGAAGAAGATCCAGACAAAAAGAAGTTTTCAAATCAGCTGTCAGGTGTGTAATGTCTACAATTATGAATTAAACATTATTACAATCAAAAGCATTGCCAACTCTTTCTTTATTATAAACAAATCTGGTTTGAAGAACTGAAATATAGTGTTCTGCATATGTCAATCTGATAAATATTCTTGGGTTTCAATTTGCTTATAAAAAACTGGAAATTTAAGATAACCAATTGTTGTACGTTCTTGATTCATTTTGGCTTATTATCCCATTTTCCACAAAAGTAAGACATTTCACCATATTGTAAACTGGCCCAATATTACAGGTGCCATTGTGATGGAAAGACCTAATATAAAATGGGATGATGTTGCTGGTTTACACATGGCTAAGGAAGCGCTTAAAGAGGCTGTTATTCTTCCCGTAAAATTTCCACACCTTTTTACTGGTAAGTAAACCATCTAGCACTACAAATGATAAATAAATTTCTTAAGTAAGAGTTACTACATGAACTTGAAGGAAAATTTAAAAGACTGCCGCAGAATACAAATGAGATTTATTATTAGAGATTGCTTTTATTAGTTACTACTCTTCAATTTTAAAATCGCCTGAGTCACTCTGGTTTGTTAGTATAATATTAAAGCATTTCTATGTTGAAGACTTTGTCATTCTTAATTAATGAATTTGTTTATTTTCTTGCAGGTAAAAGAAAACCTTGGAGAGGAATTTTGTTGTTTGGAGTTAGTATTCTCAAATAAAATTTTTGGTTTTACATATATGTTAAAAAAAAAGGTATATTTTGAAAAAAAAATTCTGTAATGAATTGGACTTATTTATTCTCATTCAAATGGTTTTCATTTTAAAAAAAAACAAAAATTTTGTCATATATATTGCAGCCTCCTGGTACAGGAAAGTCCTACTTAGCCAAGGCTGTGGCAACAGAAGCCAATAACTCTACCTTCTTTTCTGTTTCGTCAGCTGATTTAGTGTCAAAGTGGCTGGGAGAAAGTGAAAAGTAAGTCAGCAGTTTTATGGGCACAGAATATAACTTACATATGTAAAATATAACCAGGTAAAAGTTTTTGGAGCAGTTTCATTATCAGGTAATTAAAAGCTTTATCCTAATTAAACTTGCATGATAATTTATCTAAGGTTGCATTTCACCAGAACGTTCTTTTCCTTTCTTATGGATAACATTAATTGCAGTAAGTTCAGTAATCTCTTACCGGTAATACTTTTGTTTTAAAATATATTTTCCTTATTCCATAATACAAAATGTTGGCAGAATACATGTAATCATGTATATGTTTCTGTAAAGTAATTCTGATATGTTAATTTCAGATTGGTAAAGACATTATTTGCCTTAGCTCGTGAGAATAAGCCCAGCATTATATTTATTGATGAAGTGGATGCCCTTTGTGGATCCCGTAGTGAGAATGAATCTGAGTCTGCTAGGAGAATCAAAACTGAGTTTCTGGTCCAGATGCAGGGAGTGGGTGTGGACAATGATGGTGTTCTAGTATTAGGAGCTACAAATATACCCTGGGTTCTGGACTCAGCTATAAGGAGAAGGTGGATATTGTTTGATGATTTAAAACCTCTTTCTCTCTCTCTTTATATATATGTATATATATGTCTATTTTCTTGGTGGTAGATGTTTAATACGGATGCACAATTGTATCTGTATATACATATATCATGATTTTTTATTGCACGATATGTATCATAATATAGAGGCTAAAATACAGGTATTTAGTTTGTATTTATAAATTCTAGAAATAATTTTGTGGTTCAAACACTTGAATTACAATTACCAAAACTGTAAAGTATGAAGTAAAACAACATCATACTAGCATCTAAACATGCTTTATTAATATATAAATAAAAATGAAAAACATGAAGTTATGTTTTCAATATATACACAGTGTTTTCCCTAAGAAATGGCTCTGGCCAAATTGACTGCTTCAATTGATAAAAATGTTGCTTTGAAATTAAAAAATCAAAATTTCACTGTTGTAAGGACTACAAAGATTTGTCATAAACCTCAACCCCAAGCCTGTTACAATTGATCACTAATCCCTTATTCCGTAATAAAGGAAGACACTGTGTACATGTATGTGTTAGAAAAATTATGGAAATTCATTTGAAATCATAGTAAAATTGCATTTAAAAATATCATGATATTATCTCAATATTTTGAAAAAATCATGATATATATCTATATCATGATACAAAATTACCTATCCTAACATTTAATTTCATTATACAGTATTCATTATTATGAATTTAATTATTATATCAATAGTTTTTAATATAATGACTATGACTAGGAAATAGCTTTGTGTGTGTATGTACAGCCATTAGCAATTTACAAATAATCTTTTGTGGGTGTATGTGTGTTTTAAAGTTAAGCTGAGTGAATTTCAAAACAAGGCATCTGTATCACTGTGTTTTCTTATAATTTGGCAACAAGTTTTCATGTAAATAACTCAGTTATGTAATATTGTGTTTGAATGAGGTGTAACAATGTCACAGTCATAAAATATATACTGTAATAATATAATTGTAATCTAAAAATATATATACATTTTGTACAAGATATATTTTAAAAAAAGTCTTTTTTTTATATTTGATAAGGTTTGAGAAAAGAATTTATATCCCCTTGCCTGAAGCCCCTGCAAGAACAGAGATGTTTAAACTTCATCTAGGGAACACCCCTCACAGCCTTACTGAGGAGGAATTCAGAGAACTAGGAAGGAGAACAGAGGGGTATTCTGGAGCTGACATATCCATTGTGGTCAGAGATGCTCTAATGCAGCCAGTCAGAAAGGTTCAAACAGCTACACATTTCAGAAAAGTAAGTCAAACAAAATTAGCCGTCATAATATACATGAACATGCCTTTCTTTAACCAGAGTGACCATTGAGGAGGGCCCAGGTGTGTGTAATACAGGTAACTCTCGATACCTCGAAGTCCGCGGGACCGAGGAAAAACTTCGAGAGATCAAGAGTTCGAGTTTTCAAGAGTCCGGAATTTCCCGGGTTTGTTGACAGGTTTTAAAATTAGTCTTAACGGATGTAATGGTTTTCATGCAGTGTTAACCTTTTACACGTGGTTTTTATAAAACAACGATATTTTTTCGTAATTTAGATGAATATTTCATTTAACTGAGTAATGCAAAAAAATGTATATCATCATTTCATGTATATTTATTTATTCTTTGTAATACGGACATCATACTATGCGTCGTACATGTACATAGCATTGACTATTCCAAACATGATCATTGAACACAGTTCTGTAAGTATTTGTCCAATAATAGTCGTCATATTGACATTGAGGCTGTTTCTGCTTTTTAATATTTCGTTTGACACTGACTGGAAATAAAATTTAAATTAGTGTTTCGTCTTTTAATCAATTACTACTTTTCGCTGACACTGCGTCTCTAAATTATCGTAAGACAGTCGATGATAATTATTTTAATAGCATATATGCAAAATATGATTAATTATAAATAAATTATCACCTTGCAGCATAAGTGTCACCTGAATAATCATCCCGTTCCTCGAGACCTGCGTCTTCTGCCTGGGGCCTTTTAAATGTCCAGGTAAAGGTGCTAATTATATAACCTTGTATACACATGGCCACTTCGAGGTATCGAGGGTAAATTCTAATAGAATATGCATAGCGGGACTGCATTTTGACTTCGAGAGATCAAGGGTTTCGAGAGATCAAGAGTTCGAGAAATCAAGAGTAAATTTGTTTAGTTATATAGTAGAAAAATTCGGGACCGGAGACTCACTTCGAGCGATCAAGAACTTCGAGAAATCGAAGTTCGAGCCATCAAGAGTTACCTGTATGTGTATCCATTTGTCTCAGATGTTTATGAGCCAATATGTGTACATGTTGTGTATTGAATACCACAATTTTGCAAACTTTTTACTTTTTATCTTTCAGTAAAAAGTTGAAAATATTCAAGTGCTTTAAAAAAAGGACATTTTGTTTTTTTTGGAAAAAAGGTTCACTTTAAATACTCTATAGTAATTGAAATCAAACATTTTTATAGAAACATGTTGTGCTTCATGAATACACAGTTCCAAATCTGCATCTGGATATTTTCAACATCCTATACACAGATGTAGACCAGAATGTAACTATCTTGCCATTTTTAATAAACAGGAACTGACTTTAATGAGTAAATATTTTTGGTTTAGGTGCGAGGTCCCTCGAGGGAGGATCCTAATGTGATAGTGGATGACCTACTGACTCCCTGCTCTCCAGGAGCCCCAGGGGCCATGGAGATGAACTGGACCGATGTTGATGGAAATAAATTGCTAGAACCCATTGTATCAATGGTTTGTACAATTCATTATTTCCAAGAGACATAGGACATAATATATTAAAAAGGAAATTGATTGGTTCATAGTGGTATTTTTTTAGAGTTATTTTTCAGAGTTAGTTTCATATTTAATAGGATTCAAAAATTCTTTCATGGAGTTAAAAAATTTTACAAGAGGAAATTTTTAAGGCATTCAAATTATTATAATGCTAAAAATTGGCAATTTTTTTTCAGAATGATATGCTTATGTCATTAGCCACGTCTAAACCTACAGTGAATGAAGCAGACCTTAAAAAGTTAGAGGAGTTCACTGCTGATTTTGGACAGGAAGGATAGTCAAGCTGTAGGGATCTCTTTATCTTTTGTATATTGTGTAATAATGTATAAGAACTTGTATGACAAGGAGCAAACTTGAAACTGGTGTTCTATGATATCCCATTGATGCACAAAGTATCTTGTTACTATGAATATAAACACTGTGTTGTGCGACCTGCTCATGTCCAGGATATCCTCTTATAGAATTCAGTTGTTGGCTATTGATTAGAAATTTCATTAAACTGTGATAGAAGTTGGTACATGATATCTGGTCTAACTGATTGTATGGCTGAGTGAGTGAGAGGAATTTTTTCTGTATGAAAACCATCTGATTTTTTTCAGCCTTTGCCTAGAGAATGTAAATGGTAATCAGTCTTATCATTTTAACCTACTTTATCTGCAATTTTGATTCTGACTGTGTGTTTTGTTGATTTGATTGTAGTTATGTAAATGTGGCATTAATTGTCCATTGACAGTAACACATGATGCCTTTTGTGTTTTTTTTTAAAAATATTTCTTTACATCTTTATGTTTTTGTAATAGTTGAAACAGTGTTCTGCGAAGATGCGCGACAAATTGAATAAATGTTAACAAGATTTATACACTGTAAAATAAAGTATTTAAAAACATTGAGACTTATTTAACTAGGTCACTAATGTATGGCAGTCAGAGCCTCTTGTTAGGTCACCTGAATAATGAGCGTTGAGCCTTCTACTAAAATTGTAAAGTTCAAAGTCATAGGGTTGGGCATTCGGTAGAACTCTATAGGTCATATTATAAAAATGCATAAAATTTTCAAAAATGTTTCTTCCCCCTGCATGTTTAACTGACAAATTTAGTGCATAGATATGATGAGCATGAATGCCTATGAAATTTGTGGCCCCTGGGTTAAGGGTTCTGGTGTCATGGTATGGCTGTATTGGTCATATAATGAAAATGCATTAATTCTCTGAAAATCTTCTCTGTGCCTTGGTATATAAAATAAAAACTTAGTGCATAATATGATGAACAAGAGTGCTTCTTCCAAAATTGTGAAATTCATGGCCCTGAATCAGGGATTCTGGAGTAAAGACTGGGGTTTCATGATCATATAGAGAAAATACATTAATTCTTTGAAAATCTTCTCTGCTCCTGGGAATTAAGCAGACATACTAAGTGCATGGTTATGATAAGCAAGAGTGCTTCTTACAAAATTGTGAAATTCATGCACGGGTCAGAGATTCTTGAGTTAGTGCGGGGCTCCATCATGTATAGTGAAAATTCATCATTTCTTTAAAAATCTTCTTCTTTGCTCCTAAGTGTTTAATAGATAACCTAAGTGCATGAATTATGGGATATGATGAGAAAGAGTGCTTCTTCCCAAAATATGAAATTCATGGCCGCATAGACAGGGGCTCTGGAATTGGAAATGGGTATAGATTATGAACATGTATGAAACTTTGAAACTTTTATTTTCACTAAAGCCCCCACATGGGGTATGTTAGTACAATAAGAGTTTAACAATTGAACAAATCAACATGTGAACAGTTAACATAATGAACCACAAAAAGAACTTTGATATGGACAGTACTGACGGTTGTATAAAAAAAAATCGTTTAATGTTTACATTGCAGGAAGTTCAGGCATGAAATAATTTAAGAACAGTTTTACAAAACTTAGCTAAACCTATTAGTTCATATATATCAGAAGTATTCATCAAATTATAAAAAGATATTGTGTTTGGATTTGTGTAAATATTGCTAGGTATAAATTTCTGTCTTTCATTCTTAAAAAAAGGACACTTAAATAAATAATGAAACTCATCACCAAGTTCATTGTTATTGCAGAGGTTACAATGTCTCTCAGATCTATCAATACTATAAAATCTACCAGCTTCAATTGGCAAGTTATGACTGACACAACGAAATTTACATAAATATAATCTAAGATCATTTGGTAACATGTTTAGATAATTTTCAAAACCAAAATCACACTTGTACATTCTATAATTAAGGCATTTCGGAGAATTTAATACATTTACATTCCAGTCTTGGATAAAACTATTCCTTAATGTATTCTTAACCAACACACCAATTTTGCATGATTTATCAACATACTGAGCATTCCACATTAGATCCAAATTACAATCATGTAAAATATTCTTAATTTCCATGAGCCATTTTGAATGGTAAAAACCTTTTAAGCTAAATTGATACAAAATTGAGTACAATGTGAAGGAAATTTTCTCATTTTTACCACACAAAATCCTTTGCCAGAAACCAGCCATTCTAGACTTTACTAATATACTAAGTGGTATTCTACCCAGCTCTCCATAAACAATACAATGAGGAGTAGTTTTTTTAACTTTCAAATTTTTTTTACAAAATTCCATATGAAAGAATTCTAAAATGCTGCAGTTTTCAAAACCCCATACTTCTACACCATACAACAAAATAGGTACAACCATGGTGTCAAAAAGTTGCAGTTGCATATCAATAGGTAAATTTAATTTCCTGGATTTTCTAAGAGCAATATACATAGCTTTTCTGGCTTGTTGTACCAGATGTGACTTTGCATCATTAAAAGTACCTTTACTAGAAAAAATTATTCCAAGATATTGAAAGTTTCTAACAATTTCTAGTCTATCACCATTGTAAGTAAAATGTAAATTATCAGTGTTCATGTTAGAGCGAGAAAAAATAACAACTTTTGTTTTAAGAGAATTAACTTGCATCTTCCAAGTTTGACAGTACAAGTACATTGCATTTAAAGAAGCTTGCAGTTCAGCAGCTGACTCTGCTAAAATAACTGTATCATCAGCATACAACAACAAATACAAACGTAAATAAACAGTTATCTCGTCAGTATCTAATAAGTGAGCTGCCGTGTTCATATCTACAAGACCATTATAGGCATGTGACATAAATTCAACCAAATCATTAAGGAAAATGGCAAACAGAACAGGTGATAAATTTTCACCTTGACGTACACCAATATTTGAAATAAAAAAATTGGAACAAGAACTGCCTTGCCTTACACAAGACTTTGCATTACTGTATATATTTTGTATTATTTTTAACATATTTCCATCTATAGAATGTTTCAACATTTTTTGCCATAAATAAGCCCTTCGTACAGTGTCAAATGCTTTACGATAATCAACAAAAGCACAATACAATTTTCTACCTCTATGTAAATACAAATCAATTAAACATTTAAGATTAAATATATGATCTGTTGTGCTATAGCCTTTTCTAAACCCTGCTTGTTCTTCACAGAGCATGCCAGAGTTTTCTAAATATTTATGCAACCTATTATTTAAGATACAAGTGAACAATTTTCCGTAACAGCTTAGAATGGTAATACCACGATAATTATCTACATCATTAGGATCTCCTTTGTTTTTGTATATTGGACAAATATAACCTTCCGACCAACTGTCAGGCACAATACCAGCCATGAAAACAATATTAAAAACTTTTACAAATACAGGCATTAATTTTGCAGTTGTATTTTTCAAGAATTCATTCAATATAAGATCCCCACCACATGCTTTGTTGTTTTTCAGTGATTTTATAGCATTTAACACTTCCGTTTCAGTAATAGCTTGGTTCAATTCAATATTAAAATCAGTTACATTAGGAAGCTGATTGACATCATCATCAGAATCATTATCTAAAGCATTCATATTCTTAAAATGATCATAGAAAACATCAAGAGCAATTTTTCCAACATTTTTACTACCCTTTCTGTCACATTTATTCAATAACGACCAATATGCTTTCGCATCAGTACTTCGTAAATTTCTCAGTTTGTTAATAAAATTTTTCTGATATTCTCTAAACTGTTTATTTAAAGTTTTTTTATAGTCTCTACTACTTTGTAATAAACTCTGTTCTGTCTCAGCTCTTTTAAGTCTCCAATGGAGATTTCTACACTTGTGATACTCTTTACGTTTCAAATAACATTCTTTGTTGAAATAGGGTTTACATAGTTTAGAACTTACAGACCTCTGCACATTGTTATTAGTCACAATAAACATATCTGCCTTTTCTGCTGCATTCTTGATTATAGAATTACAATTAGTAACAACCTGATTTACAAAACCAATATCGACTTGATTCATGTCAACATTCTCAAGATTCATAAGCAATTCATTTATACTCTCTTCACTTAAATTTTCAATAAATACATGTGCATTGTTACTTTTCCACTTTGGTTTTAAAACAACTTGATTTTCTACAGTATTTTCTTTAAACTTACAAGAAAGCTCATTTATATCTGTTTTTGTCATAAACACAGTATCAAAGCGCACAATAACAGGACAATGCATATCACTCAACACAGGATCAAAATTACAAATTTTGAAAGAAGAAATACTATCAAATAAAGATGGAGACACAATAACATAGTCAATAACGGTATCTTTACTTGTGGTTGCAGCACCTACAAAACTATCATCACTGATTCTACCATTTGCAATATATATATCTAAGCTTTTACAAACTTCAAGTAGTTTATTTCCATAATTATCAACACGCTTGTCCTTTGAATACCTCTGTATTGGAATACCGAATTCGTATAAGGAATTTAAACTGTTCATATCCTTCCTGGAGTCTTCATCAATCAGCAGATTATCGAGAATAGTGTCATTTACAATAATGTAGACTGCAAGAGACCCTGTATGAGCATTAAAGTCTCCAAGTAGGCACACTTGGTAATTTTTATCAACTGTAACTAACTTATTAACAATTTCATCAAACATATCAACAGAACTATAAGGACTATTTTCTGGGGGAATATATACAACCCCAAATAAAGTGTCATGTTGCATAATATTTTCAACAGAGAATAAGAAAATGCATTGACTAGATGTATCAACGACCTTAACATATCTATAAATTTCACTTTTGACAAAAACTGCAATACCACCTGATTTATGTTTACAATTCTGACGAATGATTGGTGGTAGTAATTCATAATTATGAATACCTATATCATCATAAACACAATTTTAGTTTCAGTGAAGCATAAAATATCAAATTGTGAAACATATTCAATGAAATCAGGGGTTCTAATTTTAGACACTATCCCACATACATTCAAATGCAACACTTTAATCTGCTTATCAGATTTCTGAAATTTACAAATTGGTACAGTAGCATTTTCACCAGAGTCTTCTTCATTTGTATCATCGTCTTTACAACGCAAATCACCGGAACTTCCTTCCTCATCCTAAAGCACGCTTTCTGACAGTCCCAAGGCTTTAAAATCAATCGCATCAATTCCCAGCTTAAAGAGATCATCTGGTGTATCGACCACTTCCTTCTTGTCATCCTGAAGGGTGCAGATTATTTTCCCATCTTTTGGAAATGCAGATTTAACCTGGCTTTGCTTCTTTACATATTGTAGCAATTTGAACTTCAACTGGGTCAGATCTTCGGAAATGAATACTTTTTCAAATTGTTCTGTTTTTCGAAGATCGAACCGGTTACGAAGTAATTGGTGTCTAGGTTCACGCTGTACAAACCTTACTATGATTTGTCTCATTTTCCCTGTGCGTTTTTGCCCCATCCTATGGATGTCGTTTATGTTTTCTGGTTTGATTTTTACGTTTATTGCATCACCTATTTCTATTAATGTCTTTATCAAGTGTTCACCTTGCTCCCCCTCCATTTCCGGTACATTTGAAATACGAATATTTTCACGCCTGGAGTATTGGTTTTGAGAGTCAGAACTATATGAAATTTTTCTCACCTCAGCACTAAGTTTCATTATCGCCGTTTCATGGATGTCAAGTTTGTCGTTTCTTCTCGCGGAAATCATTACCTCGAGAACCGGCATCATTAAAGAAATTACTTTCACAGCTACCTTGTCTTCGCCAGACGCTTCAGCGCCTTCCTGCTTCAGATGTTCATTCACAGCTTCCACTGTTTCATGAATATTAACTTCACTCTCTAAAAGTTCTGAACATTTGGGAATACATGTACTATGCTTTAAGGGAAGTTATTCCCCTTTTTATCCAGAAATGATATTTTATCAACGTAAATAATGTATTTGATGGGTAAATTGAATAAGAGAATTATACAATAATTTGTAATTTACAGTATAAAAATACTTTTATAGTTTTTCATAGTCAGGATGACTTTAAAATAAGAGATAAATGAAAAGGAGTCAAAGATACCTTTTATATGTACATTAAATATTCTAAGACCAAGAGAAGCCAATATGATATGGGGATTTTACCAGATGATTATTTTCTATGCTAAAGCAATGTTAATTGTGAAACACTGCAGATTACACTGGCATATACAATCATGCAAGTTTCTGAGTTGCTGCTGATTTACCACACTTAATATACTAACTATTTTGTTGATCCATGGTCATCTCTTGTTTAATTATTATTTACCATTCCATGGATCCTTTACACGGTCATATTATACTCAGGTGACCCTTAAAGCCCTTGGACCTCTTGTTAATATGGAGAGAGAATAGTGCCCGTACACTGCAAATGAATGTAGAATTAGGTCAAAGAGCGAATGAATGGTGATTTGTTGCATGTACATAATTTGTGTTGTGGTGCATGTGATGGATTATCAATGTCTTTGTGAAGAAAGGCTTTCAAAAAGTTAGGTAGAAGAATGGAACACCTTACACATGCATATTTCATGTGGCATGTTCAAAAACAATAATTTATGAATGAAAAGTCTGTGTACCTTGTCCATTACCTGATATAAGTATTTTCAGGTACCCTCTAAGGCATGGGACCCCCAAGTTTTTATGCTTCAAATTTCTGGCCAAACAGAAAATCGCTTTATTTTAAACATTGAACTTCTTATGTTTTAATTATAGTGCAAAAATCACCTTATGTTCAATTCGACCTTGTCAAATAAAATAGATACAATAATCCAAAATGTATTCATTTTTCTTTAATTTTGTGTCGAATGTAATGACGCAAAATGTATTAATCGCTGTTTATCTTTACACAGAAGTATCATTTTTACCGTGATGAGGGAAATGTACTGGTAATTTCTTTCATTCAATAAACATTTCTTAAACCCATTTAAAAGATAGGTTCAGCATTGAAAGAACGATATTCTGAATTTTTTTGTTGTTTTTTTTTTTGTGAGAAAAATGTATATTAAAAAAGCTTTATTTGCAATGTAGAATTCCATAGCAAGGAGATATTTTAGAGTTTAAAATTTGCGGTTAATAAATGCATTAGCTTCAGGAATTCCATATACAACAGCTAACTGCTTACTGCCAACTACTCACTGCTTACTGCCAACTGCCACTGCTTATAGATGATATTGCCTTGTGCTGTAATTGATATTATCGACAGAGTAATTTAAGTCTTTACATTGTGAACTAAAAACCTTCATAGTAGTAAAACAGTGAGTCCTTCATTAATTTTTTTTTCTAAAATTCATGTTTTGTAAAAATTAATTACGAAAAATAAAGCAGATAATCTTATGTATCTATCGTAGTCCGATGTTTTTTTTTTTTTTTTTTTTTTTTTTTTTTTTTTTGAATTCACACAATTTAAAACAATCTGCAATAATCTGAATTCTTTGAATTTTTATGCTTTAATTTAACACATGACTGTATAAGATTATCTAGTAAATAATGCCTTGTGGCTTGTGGCTTGTATTGAAGTAAAACATCGGCTTGTGCATATAACAGTGACAAGATGCATGTAGTTCGGCAGAGGACAACTCTCGTTTTTTGCACTTATTAGTTTGCATATTTTTGGTTTACAATATGTGAATTTTTTTTCAGTAATCATACATTGAACTATACGTATAGAGTGAAACATACAGGGTGAGGGATATGAAAATTAATCGTTTGCTATCAAAATATTTTCAGTAAGATTACCATAAATAGGAGTCAACAAAATATGTATCTAAATTGGTCACCAATAAGATTTTTTTTTTAAATTTCAAAACGTGTACATTAAAAAAAACCATAGAGGCAAAACACCTATATTAACATATGGCTATAAATAATGCATCACAATGATGTAGATAATGAATGTCGCACCTGTTCTGTCTGGAATATGTATTACCTATTGGCAGGATGGCGGACCATGCATCAGCTGTAGATCTGGTGTCACCCTTCCCTGTGAAGTGTCTGCATCAAAGCGAGAGATACATACCGACCGATAAAAACATAGACCCCTGGGCACTGGCCACGCCCACAGCGGGTTTACTCAGGGACAGTATACAAAACTAGTATAAATCATTGACAAGAAATAATAAGTAAAACACATTCAATTACGTTTACTTTTCAAATAAGAAGTACAAAATTATTTCAGTTGTAAAGTTTTTAAAATTCAATAAAAAAATGTTTCAAGCAAGATGTTTAAAAAAATGTTCAATTTATGAAATTCAAAATAACAGAGCTGTTTTCACGGAGCCTTTTTCTACATTTGCTAACAAACTGTTCAATATGTGGCTTAAAAATAACTAAATCTCATTGATTCTGGAGTGATATTGGACACAGCTTAACATAGACTTTTTATATGGTCCCTCGGTTGTCTTCACATTAATTCTCCGGGAAAGTGGCTTTTTGGAACAGTTTCAAGGTGGGAAAAGAAAAGTCTTGGAAATATTACTTATGTAGTAAAATGTAAGTATAAATATAATCTATATTAAAACCCACTTAATCACAAAAGTACAGACTACATAGTAATGACATAAGTGAGTAATTCATCATAAGAGGTTTTCAAATAAAAGTAATTTATTACGAGAGGTTTTCAAATAACGTAGATTAAGAATAATTCCTTGTTACTATTCTCGCAAAGTTATAAGGATAAAACTCACTTGTGCTACAGATTTTTTTCAGCTTCATTGTTTAGCTTTTAATATCTGAATTATTTTTCCTTTTAAACTGAACACCTCCGAATGTATTAAGAACTTGAGTCGGGGTTAAGAGGCACAATATATATAGAGAGAAAAAAACAATCAGTTTCAAATTCAAACAATGGACATTGTCAATTTATATTTGTTGAAATGCTAGTAGTTCATATATATGAAAATAACTATTCTGATTTGCACAATAAGTACAAAAATATTAAAAATGCGTCTTCTCCAGTGTTTCTTATATATCTGCAGATCTGTAGCTCGCTGGTCAGAAAAAATTGGGATAAACAACCTAAGACCTATGTAGTGTCACCAAATGAAAAAAAAAATATTGTGTATTTTTTGCGCACAAAAGTGCTCTTTTTTTCTCGATTATTTCTTCGTATATTTAAGCTGCCATCTCTAAATACCACTAACTGTGTGTTCCTAACATATTCTTTTACTACTTCCACAACAAAACATTCCCCAAACCGTTATAAATAGCCCTATTGGACCTGACATTGAAACCATCGAAAATTTTGCCTATCATGCCGTATTTCTGGGTGGCAAGATAATTGGGCCCAACGCTCCCAATGACTACACGACTTGTACATTCAGTTTTGTTGTAGAATTCGAAGTTGTAAAAAATGTTAGGAGCACACGGTTAGTAATATTTTGAGATGACAGTTTAAATATGGAGAAATAAACCGAGAAACAGCGCACTTTTGCACAATAGATATACACTTTTTTCAGTGGGTGGCTCTATAGCTCTTTGGTCGTCCATCCCAATTTTCAGACCAATTGCAACGGGCCACAGTCTGAAGATAGTATTTCATAGCCCAAAGAAAATTACTGTGTTTTGAGAAAAACTGTTAGTTACTATGGAATGCAGATAAAAACACTGTGGAGAGCACAATCCATTCTAAAATACCAAAATTCGATGCTCCTCGAGAAGAAAAGGATGGTTTTACTACAATTAGGCACCTTCAATCAATAATTACTAGTATTTTCTGAAAGCAGAGAATATGTATAACAAAAGATTATTCTTTAAAATCTCTAGAGTTAAGTTTTTGTAAAAGAATTTGCTAGTGTGTCCTAGCCACAGAAGGTGTTATTTTCCCCTTTATAGTGGATTCCAATACATGCCGAAATGCGGCATCATCATTAAATAAAGCAAAGAATAACATACTAGTATTTAGAGACAATATTTACTTACTGGGATGTATGTGGTATTCTTCAGATGACTTACAATCCTAATACTTGGAACTTCAAACCCAGTAACTTCCCTGCATTTATGGACTATCGCATGCTGGACAGTGATGGTTTTCGCAGCGGAAGTACATTTAACCGTGTGCCGTCATTCCGTAATCGTACGTACAACATACCAGTGACCATTGAGAGATCTCCCTCTGTACCAGTGCTTAGGACATCAGAACCTTACCGCCCAGAATGGACCTCAACGATACGACCACTCACTGATCGGAACACTACATTTCCATCGGAGCCGAACATGCCAGGTAGACATAATATTTTTATTCAATATTGTTCAAAAAGTCTATTTTATTTGAGACGTCTGAATACCTCGAATGTCAACTTTAAACGAAATTTCGTCCTTCCGTCTTCGGTGAGTTACTCATTATTCTTCATCTTTCCTAAGTCTCCAGACTTATTCAACAAATGTAAAGCGGAACATATCCTAATTAGAAATCCAAATTTAAAGACAATATCCTAATTAGAGACGTGAAAGTAAAGAGAACAATATCTTGATATGAAATACAGATGAAAAGAGGAAAATAATTAGAGACCCAGAAGACAAAGGAGACAAAATCTTAACTAGAGACCCTAAACGCAAAGAGTACAATATCTTTAATAGAGACGGAAAATGCCAGGAGGACAATGGCTTAATTAGAAACCCAAATGTAAAGAGGACAATGTCTTAACTAGAGACCCAAAATGCAAAGAGGACAATATCTTCTGTAGAGACCTATGTGTAAAGAGGACAATATATTTATTGGATCCCAAAATGCAAAGAAGATAATAATATGAGGACCTTAGATCATCGATTTTAAAAGGTCCTAAATATAGGGAACCCCGATCCTTCAACTGGCGTCGGAATTTCATAAATATTATGGATTCTGTCGAGGATTACGCCAGGCGATGGGCCAGACATGAAAAAGAAGACCATGACACGTTGTCAGAATGGATTAAGTGTATCAGTTGTATGCTAAAATCGCGCATTAAAAGATTAAGGGGCAATGTGAGAACCATCTATCCTTCTGTATTCAATAATCAAGAAGTGAAAAAAGAATTAAATAGATTACAGGATCAGTACGTACTGGTCCCTGCTGACAAAGCAGGTAACAACATTGTCTTTGTTTGTAAGGCTCATTATATTAAATGTATTTTAGAGGAACTTGGATTTAATTCTACAAGTGGTAATCCAACTTATACTCATAGTTCCCTTTCTAAGGAAGAAATTCTTCAAAATCATATAACAGTTTTGAATATTTTTAATATTCCAAACAACCAAAATGAATTTGAATTACCATATCTATATTGGATTCCGAAACTTCATAAAAATCCTTACAAAGAAAGGTACATAGCTGGTTCCAGTAAATGTTCAACCAAGCCTCTTTCTTTACTCCTCACAAAGATATTAACAGTAGTGAAGGAGAAAGAGTACTGTGCAACAATATATTCGAGAAGTGGTGTAAATCAGATATGGACACTTAATAATTCCAAGGAACTTTTGGACAATTTGAAATCACAAGAATTTACCAAAATCAACAGCTTAAAAACTTACGACTTTTCAACTTTATACACAACCATTCCCCACGATAAATTAAAGTCCAGGCATTTTGATATCATTGACAGCTGCTTTTTCAATAAAAATGGACCTCGTAAATTTACTTACCTTGTCATTGGTCATTTGCAAAATTATTTTGTTAAAAAACAATCTGATTGTACACACAAGTACTCTGAAGTTGACATTAAAAAGATGCTTGCGTTTCTGTTTGACAATATCTATGTGGTTTTTGGAGACCAGGTCTTCCAACAATCTATTGGAATTCCCATGGGTACCAATTGCCCCCCCCCCCCGTTATTAGCAGACCTTTTTTTGTATTCATATGAAGCAGATTTTGTCCAAAATCTTATGCTGTGGCCTTCAACTCGACATTTAGATATATCGACGACGTATTGTCAATTAACAATGGCTATTTCCATTCTTATGACGATACGATATATCTCGGTGAGCTTGAGAAAAAAGATACCACAGAGTCTGACACATCTGTTTCATATTTGGATATTTTACTTGAAAAAGACGTTAATGGTAATCTAACAACCAAGCTTTATGATAAACGTGATGACTTTAACTTTTCAATCGACAACTTCCTTTACTTATGCAGCAATATACCTTCATCACCTGCATACGGGGTTTATCTCTCTCAGTTGATTCGATACGCAAGAGCATGCTCTACGTATGTACAATTTCTAAAACGAGGTAAATTATTGACAAACAAGTTGATGAAACAAGAATTTCAGCAGTCTCGTTTGAAGTCATCATTTCGTAAGTTCGATGGTCGATACAATGACCTTGACAGCAAATACAATTTATCATTGAGTTAAATGCTGACTGACATTTTCATACTAATTGTTAGGCCATTATTTACACACTGAATTGTCGACGGATTTTTCCGTTATTTCCCGATCATGACAAGGAGCACACGGTGGGTGTGACCAGTCGGCAGGGGATGCTCATGGCACCTCATCCCACCTCATCCCACCTCTGATGTTTTGGAGGTCCGTGTTTGCTCTGCTCCTATTTTGTATTGTTTAATGGACTTTGAGCTTGAATACTGTTCGTTATCTCCATATATTTCATTCTTTGTAAGATGGTTTTTTTCTTGTGGATTTCTTGTTTCATTACAGTCGATAGAACCAACTTTAACATCGATGAATCTGGAAGTGACGACGTTGCTGCTGGTCGTGCTAGGATCACCTCCATTGACGTTCTGAGCGACGAGAATGGTCGATCGCACCATACAGAGAAATACGATCTTGTCCAGGCCGGAGGTCTGGTAGTAAGGAGGGGGCAGTCGTTCAACCTAGTTATGCACTTCGACAAAAAGTTTAGCCTCAAGAAAAATACCATTCGACTTGTCTTCAAAGCTGGTACGTTGTCAGTATACTATTCTTCGAAACTGAAATGGTCTTCATCTCAAGTGAAAAAGAAAACTTCGAAATGAACAGGAAAAAAAAAGCATTAAGAATTATGCAAATCCATATCAGATATATTTATTACTGGATGTAAAAAAAAATAGAATAAAATAATGTCATTCGTTATCATTCTTAAAACTTATATTTTTGAATAATTATAGATTGATTAGTAATTTAATTCGAAAATTTCTTTTACATGTACTTTTAACTACAGGACCGAATCCCAAGCCCGGCAAAGGGACGCATGTCCAGTGCTTGCTACAGTCTGAACGTAAACCAACTGGTCCCAGCGAATGGACGGCTGTTCTGAAGGGAAGACACAAGGAAAATAGCGTAGTAGTTATGGTGACGCCGCCAGCAGACTGTATTGTAGCAGAATGGCGACTAACAGTGGAAAATATTGTACCAGATGATGTGAAACCACGTGCCCTGAAATATACTATGAAAAAGAGTATTTTTATTCTCTTTAATCCTTGGTGTAAAGGTATGCATAATTATTCCAGCTAAACAGAGATACACTAAATGTCTGAAGGACGTGTCTGATTATTATCAAATTTCATATACATTGTCTGGATTTCAGAGGATGATACCTACTTTCCGGACATGAGCAAACTAAACGAATACATTCTTAACGACAGTGGGGTTATCTTTAATGGGGATTCAAAGTACATCGATCAAAAGCCTTGGTTTTACGGTCAGGTCAGTCATCGGAACCTGTATTCGTCATCTTTGATGAGAAATCCTCAAGAGAGCAATTCTAGGTTTTCAATTATATAATTTTCAAAAAATAAAACCTTTTCTCAGAGTTATTAAACAACTACTATTCTTTGAGGAATTATTTCAGTTTGAGTCTGACGTACTGGAAGCTTCCTTGATGTGTGTTCAGTTAGGATTTGACTCTCGGTTTGGATACGCCATGTCTAACCCAATCCGTGTGTCCAGAATCATATCCAAGATTGTAAGTAAATGTGCTATAACTGTGACACTGTATTGTACATAAGCCTGTTGGCAACAAAACCTATATTTTTGGTTGAGGAGTATCTTTGCATCCTTTAGTATGATCATATAATCATCTAACAATCTCACGACGGTACAAAGTATTAAATACCCGGTATATGAACTAACTTGCACATTAGCTGAACAGATCAGTGATTTTAAGAACAATATTGGTAAAGAAAACTGTTAAAAGGTATATATCCCCCCCCCCAAAAAAAAAGACTTGAGAAAGCTTTAAATTGTATTTCAACTCACTTGACGATGCATTAGACTGCTTAGATTTGCATTAATAAATGATTTTTTAGGCACCTTATTTGCAGAAACTTATAAAATGACTATTATTCTATCAGTTGATGATTTTAGGTGAATGTTAATCAGGATAATGGTGTGTTGGTGGGTAACTGGAGTGGGGACTATAGAGAGGGGAAGAACCCGTCCTCTTGGAACGGAAGTGTGATCATCTTAAGACAGTTCCTCAAGTCAAGGAGGCCTGTTAAATGGGGACAATGCTTCACCTTCGCCGGAGTCGTGACGACCAGTAAGAAGTCTGATCATGTCTGTCAAAATATAAAAGACGGCATCATTAGTGAATGTCTTAAACAAGATGCTTGAACACTCATCGTTCTTTGCAGGCCACAAATTTCGTTTGCATAGAAAAGCTTTCTCATTACTATGAACTGGATACATTTCTACATTTTATGTAAACTTACATATATTATGATATTGCAATGAAAAATGAATAGCTTTCAACATTTCTCTCATACCTACCAAGCCTTCTAATTTGTTACATGTAGTTTGCCGAGCTCTGGGATTGCCCTGCCGCACCATCACAAACTTCTCCTCCGCTCACGACACGGATGGAAACATCAAGATAGACATCTATGTAGACGCCAACAGGAGGGAGGTGGTGCCCCCGAATCAAGAGAGGGATAGTATCTGGTAAGTCACCAACAGGAGGGAGGTGGTGCCCTAAAATCAGGAGAGTGAGAGTATCTGATAAGTTACCAACAGGAGGTAGGGGTTTCCCAAATCAGGAAAGGAAGAGTATCTGGTAAGTCACAAACAGGTGAAAGGTGACGCCCTGAATGAGGAGAGTATCTGGTAGGTCGTCAACAGGAGGGAAGTGGTACCCCCATATCAGGAGATGGAGAGTATCTGGTAAGTCACAAACAGAAGGGAAGTGGTGCCCCCCCCCCCAAATCAGGAGAGAGAGAGAGTATCTGGTAAGTCATTCACAGGAGGAATGTGGTGCTCCCCAAATCAGCAGAGTAAGAGTATCGGGTAAGTCACAAACAGAAGGGACGTGGTGCCCCCCCCCCCCCCCAAATCAGGAGAGGGAGAGTATCCAGTAAGTCACAAACAGGAGGAAGGTGGCACCCTGAATCAGGAGAATATCTGCTAGGTCCAGAATAGGAGGTAGGTGGTGCCCCCAAATCAGGAGAGTATCTGGTAGGTCGCCAACAGGAGGGAGGTGGTGTCCCCAAATCAGGAGAGGAAGAGTATCTGGTAAATCACCAGCAGGAGGGAGTTTGTGCCCCCGAATGAGGAGAGTATCTGGTAGGTCACCAACAGGAGGGAGGTCGTGACCTCATTTTAGAAGCTTTAAGAGAGACAGTATTTGGTGAGTTTTAGGACGGATATCTTAGATGTCTTTAATTTACTCAACATTGAACATGGCATGGATTCTGGATTTTTTAGGGTTTTCCCTCAGAACTATACTATGAAGTAATAACTGCTTTGTCCGAGGAATAAAACTCTCTTAGCAAAATACTGCAGTTGAAATGCACATGAGATCTAAAATAATTGTATTATATCAAATAATTAATTATATCAAAGAAAAAAGGATTCGTATATTTCAAATTAAATAAAGAAACGGATAAATTAAACTTTTAATTGATCATTTACATGTACTATGGAGAAAAATCTCTTGCATGTGTTTATGTGAGGCGATGATTATAGGAATTCCCATTGCTGGAACGAGGTTTGGATGGAGAGGCGCGATCTTCCCTCTGGATATGGCGGCTGGCAGATAATTGACGCCACTCCTCAGGAAGAAAGCTCTGGTACGGGCTAATCTTTTCTTAAAAATTGCTTATTACACTAATAGAAGAAGCAATACTCAGCAAGAGTAGCGATGTTTTAAAACTATTTAACTGATGAAAAAGAAATATATTTTGAATGAAAAATAAACTGTACGTACCAGAAACAGAGAGAGGGAGAGAGAGAGAATAAAGATACTAGTATATGATCCACTCATGATTTTCAATACAGTTTGTTTCTAGTTAAAATACAGAGACGTTTGGTTATGTTAATGTTACTAAGAGTATCTCTAGTACCGGTCAATATAACGGAAAAGAGAAAAGCAATACATATATATTCTATAGAGATTCGCTAGACTTATGCTTTTTAGTGAACAAAGGCTGAACTTGACTATATACGAGGATCGTTCAATAAATAATGCAATAGGTCATCTAAAAGTAGGAAAGGTACGTAATACAAATTCTAAACATTTTCAATCCCTCAAATCATTCCCGTTATCCTTTACACATGTCTTAAGTCTTTGTAACCATGACCAGAAAACCTCAGCATACCCATCTTTAGGGATGTCCCAAAGACACTGATGAATATCACTTTCCATGACATATCTAATATTGTACAATCTTCCTTTGATTGTTTTCATGCATTTTTAGAATAAAAAGATCGCACAATGACTGAGATTTAGCGAATATGGGGGAAGGCAAAGCTCTGTAAACTTTCTTTTCTTCAAAATTTCATTTATTTCTCTGTGCTTATTTGCAGCAGCGTTGCCAGGTGCAAGAAAATTACCCTGGGAATGGCATTTGGACTTCCTTTGCAGGAAATCTGTTTATCTTTCCTCAGTCGAATTTGAACATAAAAGTTACCATTAATGGTACTTCCTTTGGGTGTACCTAATTATTTATTGAACCTCTTGAAAAAATGAAAACTAATAAAAACATGCTTGGAGCCCTTGTTTCTCTTTACATTAATAAGAACGATAGCTTTTTCTTTGATTCCACATCTTATTATTGTTCTTCCGTTTTTGGCTATAAAAACTGCACCCATGTTTCTTTATCATCACGCAAATTGAAGAAATATTCTATTTTGTTAAAATATTTGTGTTTAAGTAGACCGTTTGCACATTTAATTCGTATTTTTCTCTTAGGAAATTTTAAGAAAATAAGGCATATATCTGATAGAAATATTATTACATTCATTCCCGTTGTCACAATTCTATAAAATGTTATGACGATGAAATGCTTAGTGTTCTAGCAATGTCTTTGGATGTAAATCTGACATTTTCAGATATTATGTTGCACATTGCATCGATAATTTTTGGTGCCCCTACAAATTTCAATCGACTAGTTTGACTTTTATATTTAAACTCTCCTTTTTTACTTTTGAATTTCTGAATCAATCTGAAAATTAAACAGCGTTAAAGACTATTCTTTCCACATATAAAAATTATATCTTTAATATGAGTTCTTCGGCGATTTATGTAAAGAAGCACAGGATTCACATACGCTCTAATTTTGATCTTTTTTGCAGAGACCATTTTAAACAGTTTTCAGCTCAGTGTAGTGACCATGCATACTTTAAAAGTGAATGTCTTTGCGAGGACAATAGGAAAAATCATGGGGTTTTTTACGATTAGATGCTCTTTTGAATGTTTTAATTCTGAAAAAATAAAATTAAATAGATCTATTTTTACTATGATATACTGTTTGTTGCATTATTTATTGAACGACCCTCGTACACACATGTATTACTACTACGATACTAGTACTCCACATGAAATAATTGAATGTTAAAGGTTTCAACCAATGTGGTCCAGCATCACTTAAAGCAATAAAAGAAGGCAGGTGCGAACTGCTATATGATACGCCGTTTGTATTTGCGGAAGTAAATGCAGATAAAGTTGTTTGGGCCCGCGGAGAGGGCGGTAAATGGTCCATTGTTACTCTAGATCCTGCAGCGTAAGTATATCTTTCTTAAGAAAGAGTTAATTAATATTCAATATTTATATTCCAAGTCAAATTTTTCACATACATTTTAATTTCAAAATTAGAATAGGTAAGAATATTAGCACCAAAGTTCCTGATGGACTACCCATTAGAGGACGAGGATCTAGGATTCGTGAGGATATCACGAATGATTACAAATACCCAGACGGTAAGTATACATGGGATACACTCTTCAGTGACTGCCTAGCTTTACATTCTCTTAAATCTCTTTAAATTTAATAATTTTCTTCCAGAAATGTACGTGATTTTTTTTTCATGGAAATGGCTGAAAAGGGAAAGGGGGGGGGGTCAAAAGTAGTAAAAAAAAGTAGTTAAAAAAAATCAGCAGAGGAGTTCAAATTCAGACATTTGCATACTTGTTGTTACGCAAAGTATCGTGTATATTTGAATATTTTTCCTGAATGTTTGGATACTGAAAATGATAGTACATGTTCACTAAAATAATACTTCAGCGTCAGCTCGAGAAAGACTTGCGGTGAAGAAGGCAAGCCGTGCTCGGAACAGTAGTGCACCCTACATCAATGAAAACAAAGTGGTAAGTTATTTGACCTCTATAATGAATAGAAAACGTTTGAATTCGAGATTTACAGACAAAGAAAGTGTGCGATTGGCATCAAAGAAGCATACAATGAAAATGCAAAAAGTCATATATATAGGTATACATTCATGGCTGTACAGAATACATACAAACTACCGTGAAAGTGAAACGAACGTCAGAGCGTATGTATAGACCAATATTACAGCCTGTTGATTACATATTGAAATACCCAAACTGTGGGTGAAAAAGTCCCACAAATAAAGAATATTATTCATTTATTGACTGGGTTCAAGGGCAACATGTGTTTTGTCGGACCCAAGAACCAAACTGTTTCCCTGAGGCCGTTAGGTTGAAGGCAAACAAAATGGTTCGATTGAGGGATCGACAAAACGCATTTGCCCGATAATACAGTCAATAATTGTGTTGATATACCTTTTACTTTTTATTTTGACATATCTTTTGCTGTCTTCCATGTTTGCAATAATTGATAAGATAAAGCTGATCCCACCTATAGTTTGACGTAAAAACGTCATAGCGGTCCAATATCTCACCGACGGGTCCAATATCTCACTCAGTCCAATATCGATTTTTTTAACCTTTCAGAAAAAAAAAAAAAACATTAGAAATGTTAGACTTTTTATAGTAAAGATTTCAATTAGAAACAACTTAAAGATATAACAATGCAACTGTCTTACTCCTGGGGTATATTCACAATGGCAGGATGTATACTAGTATTTTATAATGTGATGACGTGTTTGTTTTTGAAAAGATGTTAATGATTACCAGTGCTAGCCATAAGAATCTAGCTGAAAGACGTTAATGATTACAAATGCTAGCCATAAAAGTTTAGCTATATTTTTAACAAATAAATAAAGAATCGACGGTCAAAAATACTCAGAACACCTTCAATGATATGTGCTTGATAAACCTCCTTTTAGGAAGATGTGCAATTTCACGGCTTTGTGGACAGAAATTATGTTAATCTTGGCCAGGACTTTGTCGTGAGTTTTTCTTTTACCAACACAGCAGCACTAACAAGGACGGTCACGGCTAAGATGATCTGCGAGGCCGTATTGTATACTGGGCGGCGACACCAAAAAATCAAAGAACAGTCGTATCAGTTACCTGTTGCACCTTCATCAAGTAGGTTACAATATAACTAAATAAATGATAAGTTGTATCAGTTTTGTATTTATCAATTCAGTCATTATAATAAGCTATTAAAACATACATATGACACTAGTGCTTTAAATCAGCTACTTCCAGTTGATGACCAGTCGTAGCCAATTGAAAAATCAGTATTTTTTGTCCATTAATCAGTAAATAGAACTTTGCACACATTTTTTAAATTAATATTTTTTTCATAAATTTAATTTATAGATGGAGAGATGTCAATGGAAATCTCCGCATCGGATTACCTCCACAAGATTACTGAAAATGTTGACCTCAAAGTTTCCATTGTTGCGGAGGTTCAGGAGACGGGTCAGATAGTCTCGTGGGAGGACGACTTCCGGCTCCTAAAACCGGCAATGGGCATTGAGGTTGATACCGTTATTTTCATTTCCATACAAACATATTTATGTATACATGATGAATGTGTGTAAAAGATACATGTATGGGCGTTTGCAGCTAAAGTTTTGATGTTGTAGGTACTTTCACCCTCTGTTGAGGTAAACAAGCCTTTCCAGTGTCAATTAAGGTTCCGGAACCCACTGAACACAATTCTTAGGAACTGTTCTATTAGTGTGGATGGACCTGGAATTGATGGAGAGTTCGATCAGAGAATCAGGTAACCCACGCAAAAACGATTTTACCGACTCTATGAATGAAATACAGCTGATGAGCATTGATTTGTGTCTTTTTTCAGAGATGTCTTTATTATAAGCTCTGAAGATCACCTTTGTTTTATTCTCATAGTAAAATTACTAATTACTAGTAATTTCAAAATTCATAACTTATGCACAAGGTGAATAAAACTCTACATGGTGTTCGATATGTAAATATTTGTAAGCCTGAAGCCTTTGGCTAATGTGAGGTAAGCCATTATATACAATTAATTTTAACATGTAGTATTTAATTAGTAGGCCATGAGTGATAGGGGTCTGAACTAGTTCACTGCTTAATTTGAAATTGCAGTGATGTAGCGCCGAGAACCGAATGGGTGGCGGAAATGACGATGACCCCGAGGACACCAGGCAGGAAACAAATTACTGTTACCTTCAACAGTGACCAAATCGACGATATCAACGGAACAGCTGATGTTTTGGTGTCTTCAAGAACCCATAAACATGGATATATGTTTGATTGTTTAAACTAATGATTCTGATAATTTTATGTAGTACTGATCTTTTTCGAGCACGTTCTACAAAATCTATTTTTGTAAAATTTCTTCTGAATGTATATTAGGATTGGATTCATACATTTTTCTTGATTTCTTCTATAAATTATAATGTTCACAGGATTATCGATTTGATCTTTCAATTAATGTAATTAACCAACATACACATCAAGTTAAACTGTTGTAAAATAATTCCTCGTTACTTTCAACAGAAAATTTCAATCGAAATCTTAAACTATAAATTGCTTGACTTACTATTTGGTCATGCGATCTCTATATCACAATATTTATGCTTGCAAGTATTTTACTGAGATGCTTATTATTGACTAACAAAGCTATATTTATATATATTTTTGTAATAAACACCTTTATTATTTAAATTTTTTTTTATATATAAAATGTCTTTTTGGGATTCATATCCCAGTCAATGAAAGTGAATTTGTTTTACCTTACCTATACAATGTTTAACCAAGCTCCTATCTTTACTCCGCACAAAAATATTACCTGCTGTGAAAGAGAAACTTCAGACGTACTTTGCTACATGTACAACATGTTCAAGAAGTGATGGAAATCAAATAAAGGTTCTCAAAACCTCCAAAGATGTTTAAAAGAAATAATTAAATACTAGACTTTTAAATATCATAAACAACTGCTTCTTCAATGAAAATGGAACTCGTAAATTTTCGTATCCTGTCTTTGGTCATCTACAATCTTACTTTGTTAAAAATCATTTTGATTCTAAACACTAATATTCTGAAGTTAACATTTAAAAGATGTTGGAATTTCTCAATGACAACATTTATGTAGTCTTTGGAGACCAGGGTTGCCAACAATCTGTTGGAATTCCGATAGGTACGTATTGTACTTGTTTATTAGCCAACCTGTTTTTAAATTCCTATGAAGCAGAATTTATTCAAAAACTTCTACCAAAGAAGAAGAAAACATTTGCTTTGGCCTCAGATATATCGAAGACGTTTTATCAATTAACAATTGTTACTTCCATTCATATGTCGACTCGATATATCCCACTGAATTCGAAATTAAAGATAACGCAGAGTCTGCAACATCTGTTTCATATTTGAATGTTTTACCGACTATTGACAATAAGGAACAATCAGGCCCGTAGGAAGCAATTTCACTTTGAGGGGGCACAACCCTACATTTTCAGTTGGGGGGGGGGGCACTATCAAGTACCAAAATTCCTTGACAAGCAAAAAAAAAAAAGGTCAGACGTTATTATTGAGGGGGCACAAGCATATAGTAGCTATGTTTTATATAGTAGTCTATATATCGGCAAAATTATTGGAGGGGGGCCGCACGCCCCCCCCCCCGTGCCCCCGGTTCCTACGGCCACGAACAACTAAGTTGTAAGACAAATGAGATTACCTCAGCTTTTCCATCGTCAACTTTCCTTAATTTATATAGTAATATTCCGCTATTCCTCATATGGTGTCTCCCAACATATTTGATACTCAAGAATATGCTCTGAGTGCGATAATTTTTTTACCCACTTCAGGCTTCTGGTGGGACCATAATATGTGATCAGTTTTATAATAGAATATATAGGAAGAAGAATCTGCTGATAAAGAAAAGAATCGCCATAGTTACTCGGGTAAGCGTTGTGGCCCATGGCCTTGGGCCTCTTTATCTTAGCGTGCTGTACCTTTTGTACCCAATTTACCCAGTGTTATCATTGTACGCTGAGAAACTTAACCACATCCCTGTGGCCAATTTTCTACTTTCTGTTCCATTAGCAAGTTTATAGAGTACCTTTATATGAAACCTTTTCTCTTAACATTCATAGGGTGTATCATCAGATGTAAAATATAATCTAAAATGCATTACCAACTTCTGTTCATATCTACGTTTTTTCTTCAATATGGTCAATCCTGGTTATGTTGCTTTAATTTGTATGTTTGGTGCTGCTTTGAGAAAGTTTAAATTTCATTTTTTCTGACGACATTTCCACTATTCCTCTGTTAATCTGGTTAATAAATTTTGATTTGATTTTTAAAAAAACAAACAGTACTTACCGCAGCATTACTCATAAATCTCAGCAAAAATTTATAACCTGCAAGTATTTCTTCACTATGGGTCTATCAAGATTGACTAACATAATGGTATATTTACATAAATCGTCTCAAAAATGAGAAATAGTTATTTTTAAACTGATATAGTCAATTTGGCCACCAATAAACGAGATCTTACCAATGATATGTAAATAATTGATTGTAATAATTAAAATATAACCAGAAAAAATGCGATTGTCACTAATAATTATTTACTCTTGCAATTTTGTCCTTAAAGATGATACAGCGTGTCTTGTAAATGATTCTAACCAATGATGGGTGTTGTGTTATTCCACACACTGTTTCAGTACTTCATATCATTAACCACATTGTCTAATGTTCAAGGAAAAAACTCTCGTAATATTGTTTGTAAACATTTCTTTGTCGATTTTCTGTGTTAAGTATCCTTACATAACAATGTATTTTCGAAGAAAACAATATATATACATGATATTAAAGTCTTCAAAAGAGATTATGTCATTATCTTTACAAAGGAGAGTCATTTGGATTTAGAACCGTCTTGCATTTTTCAAATGGATATTTCGGCAGCTTAGACAACTTTTTATTCATATTTCTTTTTCTTATGGTCGGTTTGGATTTAGTAAAAAAAAAAAATAAAGAAAGATCAGCAATAGGAAACTCCTCCATTTCTACAAGAGGGCGAGTTACGCTAAGCGTCACTTACACATTTGTTATCCTCTACAAGTAGTCCCTTCAACATATGGCAGATGTAAAATATTGATCAAAATAATTAGGGATGGCAATCGAATACAGAAATTGCTAATCGGTTAACCGCAAGACGTTCCGACCGATTAACCGGTTAATCGTATCAAAATGCACATTTTTGACATTTTTTTCTTTATTCACATATACAAAAAGACTAAAAAGAAAGTAAGACGTTATAAACTTTCTGTTTATCTTGATCAGGAAACCTTATTTTATTTCAATTTCAATAGACAAGAAAAATTAAGAAAACCATGAAATATGCCGACGAAATAAGAAATTTATAATTTTCCAGATGTCACACAAGTTTATTCTGCATTCTTCCTCTCTATACTGTCGTTAGAGTTAATGAGAATAAACTGTTGTCTTGTCTTGCATTGTCACCATAAGCAAGACTAAGTCTAAACTTTCACTTAAATTACAATGTTTGTCTAAAGCTATAATTTAATAGATAACGACAAAAGATAGTTCACAGTTCTCAACTCTGATTTAATTAATTTCATTAAAGAATTACAGGACAGTCAGGGCACCGACAAGTTGTTTAACTGTAATTAACACTTCACAAACTGACCAATTACCCATGCGATCTCAATCAAGAGAGCCATAATTACCTCCAAATCAGCTTAAATCGATATGTGAAAACGCTAAATTATTACCGTTTGTGAAGAAAAAAAAAATTAAATAATAAATTTTAAGAAAACTGCGTTCAAATTTACATTTTTTTTTTCAGACTAACCGATTACAGATTTTCGTTCCGACCGAGTAATCGGTTAACCGGTTTCAAATTGCCATCCCTAAAACTAATACAACTTTATATATATATATATATATATATATATATATATATATATATATATATATATATATATATATATATATATATATATATATATATATATATATATATATATATATATTAGAAAAAGCAAAGTAAAAATTGATAAAGGGACATTTTTTTTTCTTTTTCGAATATCTAGGAAAAGAATATTTGCCTAGTTTACAAGATTATTCAAATGCTTTGGATAACAGAGGTATTGTGGAGCTTAGCAAAACGCCCTCTGGTGAGAGATTTGGGCTCGGCAATCCAAGCATGTCTCGAACACCTACGGAGAACACGACATTCTTGACTGACGTCCGTAGGCTTTACATTGACAGTTTTTGTACTCTCGTCCTCCGATCATAGCCGGAAATCCGCTCTCCCCTTGCTGCCTGCAATTGTCATTTTTATCTTTACACACTGTAAAAGAAAAAAAAAGATATCTAATGTCAAGCTTTATTAATTGTTATTAATGTTGATCACTTTTGATTGTGAATTAAGTTTCTCACAATATTTCTGTCCATCAGAGCATTCATCCAACATTATTTTCTTTTAGAAATAAATACTATAAATTAATTTATTAAACACTATAAACTGATTTTTTGAAAAATGTTTAATGGTCAATTATAGATCTGGCATTAACTTACGTATTTTAAGTGTAGATGTTCTATAAATCCCGTTTGAATACACACACTTTAGACGAAGACAAATTTTATGAGGTTTATATAGGTGATCCCACTCTTCCTCGATGTCTCGACAGTTTCCATCTAGATCTTTGCAGGCTGGAATGGTACATTATAAGGCAGTGTATCTACTTTTCCACATTTTAATAGTTTTAAGTCTATTGATTTGTAGGTAGTAAAGTTTTACTGAAAATTTATGATGGTTATGAAAATATGTTTATACCATAATGACTGCTTCATGTATTTTTTAAGTCTAGCAATGTGTCTTTGTCTTGAATAAGTACTATAATGAATCAATTTTTAGACAGTGTTTTCTTAGTCTTCGATATGTTTTATTATTTTTTTTAAACTTATGGCAACAATTTTACTATCATGAATTGAGGAAATACAATGACATGTTTATAACATAACAGGAGTGTTCTGGCTAGGGTATAATGTTCCTGCATTGAAAAGAAACATCGTATCTCACCTCCTTTAAGCAGGCTGTAAACAGGGCGATTTGATTTTTTGTCCAGGGTGCAACCATAATTTAAACATTTGTTTCTCATCTCTTTGAACCCAACCTCAAGGCATTTGCCGTTTACATTACAGCCTGAAAGATGAGACATATGAAAAAGCAAAAAACAACTTTTATACGTAAAATACCTTTGGTTAAATGTACTTTGCATCAGAAAGTTCATGGAGCCTGTTGAAAGTTAGAAAGTTTAATATTTACGCTCGTATGATTATCGCTTTATAGCAACATATTCGAGAAGTAGTGTTAATCAAATGTGGAAACTAAAAAAAAAAATCCAAAGAACTTTTAGAAGATTCAATAGCATCCAAGCGTATGGCTTCTCAACACTTCATAAGGCATTCTTCCCGACAAAGTAAAGAAGAGACACATTTATCTATGTAGTCTTTGGAGTCCAGGTCTTCCATCTGCCGGAATTCTCATTGTTACATATAAAATAATTGTGCCGCTTTAAAAGCTAACCTGTTTTTTGTAGTCTTATGAAGCATATTTATTCAAAACCCCCAAGTTGTTAGTTTGCCAGCATTGTCTCTCTATAGCAAAAAACCAAATATGACACAGATGTTTCAAACCCAGTGGTGTCTTTTATTTTGTGTTTAATGGGATATATAGAATCAACATATCAATACAAGAATAAATATTGTTAATGGGTAAACTTTCCCGACATATCTTAATATGTGAATGCTAATGTAAAAGAAGAATTTGTGATAAACGTAATGACCTCGACTTTACCTCGACCTTACCGGATTGCGCTGTCGTCAAACGGATGCGTAAAACGTTGATGAAAGTCATCCCTCGAGTCTCTTTTTAAATGTTAGACTAACGATAGGTGTCCAGAGTAAGACCAGTTTTATCCGTTTCAGGACCGGCAAAGCTCAGGTCAAACGGATATCAACGAAAGCAACCGGTCAAGCACAGGAAAAGAAGTGCATGGATTCTGTACTAAACGCAAACGCACTGTACTATACTTTAAACGGACCTACCGTACTTTAAATGGACAACTTAGTCAAGTTGGGTTTCTTCCAAGTTTTGAAAACGTTTAAAAAATTTCACTATCTTTTATACATCTGCCATTCCACTTGCATCTGCAAAACCACAACATTGTTTTTTAACTTCACCGGGCCACTCCAGACACTGTACGTATTCATCAAACGGACAAGAAAGGTATGCAAAAGGAGACAAACAAATTAAAAATTTTGCAATCCATTTGACCTCCTTTAGCGACACGGTGTGACTGAGGCCTTATTTACGTAGCATTTTACAGTAATCATCATATGGTGTTCGTCTTCCAGTTGATTTGATATACATGTACAAGAGCATGTTCTGCGTATGATCAAATTCTGAGATGATGAAAGCTACTCAAAAATAAGTTGAGGTTACAAGAGTATCAACAATCACGTTTAAATTACTAGTAAACATTTCGCAAATTCTACTGTCGTTACAATGACCTTGTTTGCAAATACAACCTGGCCTTGGGTCGATTGTTGACTGAAGTTTTTATTACGTATTGTTAAGTTTTTATTACGTATTTTAAATTTTTTTTAATATGTATTGTTAGGATTTTATTACGTATTGTTAGGTTTTTATTACATATTGTTAGGTTTTTATTACGTATTGTTAGGTTTTTATTACGTATTGTTAGGCCATTTTGCTGATTTTATATGGATTACTCTGTTTATCCGATCAATTTTTTTTTATCAATTGAAAGTTCTGTTTGTGATGCCTGTGTTGCATGGGAAACACACAGGGGTCACTCTGTCTGGTGGATGTCAGTCCATTCATCTGTCTCGGAGGAGTCACTTTTAAACAAAGATCTACAATTCTTATTGAATAAAAATATTCGAACTAGTTTCGATGTATCCATTTTTACAAATTATACCGTCTTGGTTTTTTCTTTTCTAGTGTCTGAAACATGTTTTTAACAGTGTGTTTAGAAAAAAACACCCCACAATAGGCTTGTAAAATAAGATATCACTTAATATTTTGTTGATAAAGCAATTTTTCACATCTATTAACAATATTTTAACCAAACTTAAATTGCCATTAAAATGCAGATGTGTAAAATATACCTTGAGTAAATTTTATGGTTATACCTCTTAATTTTGCTGTTACCGATCGGGAGAATCCTTTGTTTGATCTATTGACAACACATTGTCTTTCCAGGCAACCTGAGTCCCATTTTTCCCCAGGACTGTAGCAAATACCGCCTACTTTACATCCTAAAAGCAAAATACATGAAAAAAAGCTCAAGATAAAGAAGCATTTCGCTTGGAGTATCAGATTAAGAGGAAGAATGTTATTATTACTTACATGTACTTATCATACAATGTTAAAAGTTAAATAAAAATTTGGCATATATTCTTACCAACGCCTATAATTTGTATTTTAGGGTATGTTCGACCATTTTGGATTTTTATACGACAACCGTAAGTAATGCAGTTTTCCGGATTTGTCCAATTGCCTCCGTTCTCTCTACATTTATCCCTATCTAAGCACCCTGAAATAGTTATATTTACCTAATTAATATCCATTGAAGGCAGAGATTACATGTGGAAGAGATCCAGAGATATCTTTCTTTTTAAAAAGGGATAAAAAATTATACATATTTTTCTAGCTCAAAATTGGGTTTTGGGTGGGGCGTTTGATAGGAAAACGTTTATTCTTTCAATTAAAACAATTTTGCACTATTTGGTGTTTTAACTTTGGACCCCCACATTCCGGATTTTGTCGTGCTTCTTATTAAGAGAAACATATACATTTTTATTGGGTTCATAAGTTCATTTTAAGGACGGACATGTCACATGCATCTGGAAGAGTTAAATACAAAGTAATTTTACTTACTTTGAATGTATCACATGAAAAGAATGACAAAAATTGCAAAACTATATACGTTCCAAAGAAGTCTCATTAAAATTGATTTTACCCATATCAAATAAACATGTATTCAATATTTGCAAAATATGTGTCTTAATCATTTATACGATCCCATACCTGTTGCTACATTTTCCAGACGCGACTGACCAGTCGTAGAGACACACTTCACTTTGTTACAATTTTGACCCTCGCCATAGCTCCCTACCGCTATGCAATTTCCTTGTGGATCCCTGCAATCTAGCACGTTCATTTCATTATACAGTTTATCAGATCTTAATAATTTTAATATACAATCAAAGAAATTAACAATGGATATAAGTTTAGCGAAATACATTTACTTTGTTTAAGTCTTGCAAGTGGGTGTTAATAAAACGAGAATGGTCTCTTGCATAACAAGAAACAATGCTATTTTGATTCAGTGTGAAAGTTTCAATACCTTGACTATAAACGGCCATCTCTGCGCGCCTGTATTGTCCCCTCTGGGATACACGACAGATGTAGTGAGTACACTGATATTGTCTTATCTCACTCTCATTTACACAACTGTCCTTCCACTTACACCCTGCAAAACCAAAACACGTATAAAGGTAAGAATGGGTTCAAATATCCTGAAGCCTGTTTAATAATATTGCATGGTAGAGTCATTTTTTCCCCGTAGTTCTTTTTTGAATCGCCTACGTTGCATGGCAGGAAATTAGTGCTACTAATTTTCTGCAGAATAAACGGTTTATTCTGCTTGGTGTCTGTCTGTCCGTCCGTCTGTCTAGCTGTCTGTCTGTCTGGGAGGAGTTACTTTTAAACAAAAGGTCTGCGAGTCTCTTATTTCGTATCACAAAATCGAAATACTATGAACAGATTGAATTCAGTAAGATACAAACATCACATAGAGAGTTAATGGCCAGTTATAAGTTAAAATACCACTAATGTGTCTTAATTAAATGCGTTCAATCAACCTGTGGTTCCGATATCTTTTATAACTAGAAAAGGAGTTATTAACAACAAGTCAGATCTTGAAAGAGTAGTGACTGAAATCTGGGCATCACTTCCTTAACATTATATAAAAAGCCTATATCAAAGTATTCCAAAGCGAATCAGAGCCGTAATCAAAGCAAAAGGATATATAACAAAATACTAGTAATTTTAGGTAAGTCTGTGTTTTTTTTGCATGCTATTTAAGTTTTACATTACAACAGGCTAGATCAACATTTAACAACATCCGCCATTTTGGGAACTAAATTATGGCCAACTACTGTAGGTCTTAACCGTTTATTTATGGTAGTATACATCTAGAAAGGACTTCTGATATAAGGCTAAGGAACTTTCTCAACCTTTCAAAATGGAATTAATTTAACAAAATGTTTCAATTCATCGTTTTTATTAATTTTCTCAATATTGTGATGTTATTTTATGTTGTTTCATTCTATAGTGAAAAGATAAGAAAACAGAGGAAGGTATGAATTACCAAACGTGACGACATCACTTCCTGAGCTATGGACGTCTCCGTTTTTTCGCCAATAACACCGTTTGACAGAACATCCATCTCTGTATGTAGAATTGACAGGTATACACAATCCGTTCACCCTGCAGTCTGAAAACAGATTGTTAGTAATCAGGTCTCAAGACGGGTCAAAATTTTATAAATTAAAATAACTCCTGACGTAACTTTGATAATGAAACAAAATTTAATCATATATTTTATTTAAATATCAAATATAGACCTGTATTTAAAAAAAACACATGAGAATAAAAATCAAGATATTCAAGATTCAAATTTCAATAAAAGTCTTCTCAGTTTATGGTTTTGAAGACTGGATCTTCGAAAACATTTATTTTATTTTTAAAGAGAGAGAGAGAGAGTTACCTGCGTGTATGACGTCCATTGTGACAGTATTATGGTCCCTGTCAACTTTACATTGTCTTTTTAAACATTGTGCACTCATCATCTCTCCTTCCTTGTAACATTTTCCGTTCAACTTGCAAGCTGAAGCATTTTTTGTACTTAAGATTAGAAGTAAAATTAATGGTAGATACATTAAATTAGGACAGATCACAGTTTTACATTTAATGCTTCAATATTTAGTAGGGATGTCAGATCGGTCAATTTTTGATAATCGGTTACTCGGACGTTTTTCCGATCGAGTACCCGGGTACTCGGTAAAAATGAAAATACTTTAATTTTCTTGAGCCAAGTTAAACCCCAAAGCTGTTTTTATCACGTTTATAAATGCATATAAACATAGATTCCAACGGAAATGATTTATGGTACTAAATTTATTTATCAAATGAACACAAAAGACACAATTAATACATCAAAAATTACAAATGGTTTACAGTTCTTGTTTAGGATCTATTTGACCAACGCAAAAGGAAGACAAGCTGTTATAAGCAGGTTTATGTGATAGAAGGCTAGCGAGAGAAGGAACAGAGGTTGTTAGGATCGCTAGTCTAATATTTTTTTCATATGTTGGATATTTCCACGGTATGCACTAATCCTACTACGCAAACAGACTTTCAACTTTTTTTTTAATCTTTAGTTATTTCTAAATATTTCTTCACTTTTGAAGTGGGTAGCGGCATTTCTATGCATGTCCAATTTCGCTGCCGTATATTAACCAAATGATTTTAAAATGATTTGAAGATAAAAGACCATACTTAAACGATGTACAATGAAAACAATCATTGAAGCCATTCAAAAATTAAGGACCACAATAGGTGAGAACAGCCGTGTACCAGGTGATTGGTCACTAATTACTGTATATATACACAGCCACGACGCGCTATTTACCGTATGCATATTTAAGTTATTTTTTGATAAGTTTTTGATAAAAATATATACTTTGATATAAGAAAAAATACACATCCGAGTAACCGAGTACCATTTTTAGTATTCGATACTCGGACGTTCGATCGAGTACCCGGTTAACCGGGTACTCGTTGACATCCCTAATATTTAGTAATCAGAAATAAATTAATAAAAATAAGTTAGACAGTACCATATGTCTTTATTTTCGTTCTTATTTTCACATTTTCCTTCTGGGCAGCCTCCATACTGCATTTCATCACGTGACAGTTTTTGCTTGTCCACGTGTTGTTTACGTCATGACACTCTCCTCCTTCATTACACCCTAAAGAAATAGTTCCTTTCAAATTGTAGTAAGTTTGATCTTCTGAAGAAAATCATTGTCATTCTTATGTTTTAGAAAAGATCACATAATTATGTAGGAGTGTATAAGTCAGAGAAAGTGTTCCTGAAAACCTATATTCAAGTGCCTGTAGGTGTGAATTTGCAATCATAATACCTCCTTTGTAGAAATCTAGACCACAATTTGATGAGTGTCTCTCACAGCGGTATGTTATACAGTTTATTGTCTTCGTGGTGTTGATAGCTAAACATCCACCCATACCGTCACTGCAACCTATGCAACATAATTAATCACGTAATTAGTCTGTGTATAATGTCGGTGTAACAATTATTTTTTACTATGATTACCAAATTGTTGCTTTTCGTCACTGAAATACTGATTTGTATACTATCCTGTCGCGCCTTAAACCTAATTATGGGGAAAAGGTAGTCATATTGCAGAATTTATTTGATAAAATAAAATGTGTCAGAATTCGAAAGGACAATACAATCAGATATGAAAGAAAACAGAACTCAATTGTTTCAAAAAACAGTAGTTTCTATTGTGCGATATACCTAGTACTTTGATATTTTACTAATCCTAGGCATTTTTATTTACATTATAAGGTAAGAATTAATAGATATGTTTTGAACCCATTGACCAGTTAACAGCTTGGAATATCCACCTCATTTGATCTTTACAATTTATCTTGTATGAAATATATTTTGTCGCTTTTTATACGAATAACATTCTTTCTGACGAAACTACAGCTTGGATAAAAGACATATATATATCTACAAACTCTTTTTAAGGATATATAACATAAAAAATTGATGTATGGACTGATATACCATTTTGTGCCATTTTTTACATACATCTACACAAATTTTGGCACATAGTTTATGCCATTATTACAAAATCGTACAAAAATTTCAATACTTTCTTTGGCAAACGTACGTTTTTTCTACACTTTATACAATCCATTCCTCACGATAAATTAAAAATTCGGCTCTTGATATCAAAGACAACTGCTTCTTCAATAAAAATGCAACTGAAAAATTTTCATAACTTGTGATTAGTCATCAACAAAATTACTTTTTTTTTAAAAATCTACACACAAGTACTCTGAAGTTGATATTAGAAGTATTCTGGAGTTCCTCATTAACAACATTAAATTAGTCTTTGGACACCAGGTCTTCCAACAAACTGCTGGAATTCCAGTGGACATTAATTTACTCCCTTATTAACCGACCTGTTTTATATTCCTATGAAGCTGAATTTGTTCAAAAACTTCTACATAAGAAGAAGAAAGCCATTAAGATATAGTGACGACGTTTTATCAATTAACAGTAGTTACTTCCATTCACATGTCGACTCTATTTATCCCACTGAACTTGAAATAAAAGACACCACAGAGTTTGCCACGTCAGTTTCATATTTGGATGTTTTACTGACTATACGATAAGGGCCAACTAACAAGTAAATTGTATGACAAACGAGATGATTTCAGCTTTTTCATCGTCAACTTTCCTTATTTATGTAGTAATATTCCGTTATCACTTGTATGGTGTTTACTTTTCTCAACGATCAATTTTTAACCGAGGTAGGCTACTGACAGATAAGTTGAGGTTATAGGGAATTTAACAACCTAATTTTAAGTCAGCTTTTCGTAAATTCTATGGTCATTATAATGACCTAGTTAGCAAATATAACCTATCATTGGGTCTTACTTTTGGCTGACGTGTTTTATACCAATTGTTAGGCCCTAGGTTTTTTTTTTTTTTTTTAAATATTTTTTGATAGCTTAACAGGGAAGGGTTAAAGTTTTAATAGAATTTTAATCTTGAATGTTCAAATTCTTACAAAAGTTTAAGTCTGTTTCATGACTCAAAGGCAACGTCTGTAATTTTGCGTAAGAAGATGGGTGAACATGACGAGCTATAAGCCCATAGTATGACAATCATGAAGGTGAAAAATTAAATCTCAATTATATCAAAATTTTCCTTGATATTTCATCTAACATTAAATTATTCCTTATGTAAAATCTCTACAATTTGCAAAAATCTCACAAAGATTGAAAATATTTGTTTATGAAGTATTATACGCACACTTAAGAAAGCAAAAAGAGTCATTTTCTCATACTATAACTCTAATTTTCGATATGAGTGGGTCTTCGCTCCATTTTTTTGAAAGTTAATCCTCTAAGTTTGCATAAAAATATATATATTTTGGTTATCAAAAATATGGAACAAAGACCCACTAAACCTTAAAAATATACTTTTATGACATAACATTCTCATCTTTTCGAGAAATACTTAAGTCCATTAAGTCAAGGATTATATCACAAACATGATTTAAATGCCAATATTCATCAGGCCTTGTGTAGTCTAGTGGTTAGCGCGCTAGTCTCGAAAGAAAATGACACTCAGGATTTTTATTGCTAGGGTTCGAACCCCACGAATACCACTTTATTTTTCTAATGAAAGAATTTTACCGAGAAGATTTTCCTCAGAAAAGTTTTGTTTATCATAATTTCATAAATTTCAATAATGAGAACTTAACTCTAAATACTAAATTCACAAACTGAGCATGATTTTTATATATCTGAAGCTATAGGCTTTCTGCATGCTATGTTAGCCCATCTCCAAATTTGGTAAAAAAAAAAAAATGGTATAAACACTTCTGATATTGACGTCTTCAAGGAATTCTTTGTAATTTCAACACACACAGAACTTTACAGAAATATGCTGGTAAAAAGGTTTTATGAAAGCGCTGAGCACTCCTTGCGTCCTTGTAAAGAAAAGACGAAACCTGCTGAGCAATCATGCAAATTTTATTTGAATATTATTTAAATTAGACTTTATTGCAGTAAACGGTGTTCAGTCTAAAATCAGACAATGCTTTAATTCCATAGCTAGTTTTCAACATCGCCAAACTACATTTTAATCAACTAATTTTGTCTTTTTTACCCAAGATATGAAATTCTGATTTTTTTTTAAATTATCAAAACCATCATAACTTTGGCATAATCGAAAATATAGTTTGCATGCCAAGTATTTTTAAAGTTACAAATAAAGCAAAGATTAATTTGTATTCTAAATGAAATACAATTTAATAATTCAATGGCAATTCTATCTCGAGACCTTTTTCTTTTCAATAATAGTAAACTCACTTTGTTTACAGCCCATAGAATGTAACAACATCATGGACATTATAATTCAATTTAAATGTTCAAAAGTGCAGCGAGTGTTTGTCTGTTCTTCAATTTATCTAATGCTGTTAATCCTTAGAGGGAAAACCTTTATATTTAACCACTGTCCTTTAATTGGTTTATCAGTATAAGATTTTCTTTTAATATAACTACGTATGCTATAAAATTTTTGCATGTTTTTTAGTAATTAAAATGACTATAAAATAAAATAAAAGAAAAAAAATGATGCTATCTCGACTATTGCGATCTCAAAATTACACGTATCCCTACCCTTACCATATGAATTATTTGTCTAAATATCATATATTTTAACGTTTATTGTAATTTAACCACAGGGAGAAACACTGCAAGTTGTAAGCCAAACATAATTAACTGGGACCAAAATCAAAACCAAGATTGTATGATTTGACTATGATATACCTGCACGGACAAGCTTGTAATAAGGTCTTTGGACTTGAGGGTGAACTCGGCATTGTAATTCATAACAACCTCGCCTCTTGCTGAATCCTAGTCCTCTACACTTTTTGCCATCTATACAACCTTGTCAAGTAAATAGGAGATATTTTTTTTTTACAAAATTACAATCATTGTTGTCATATTTTATATTCCCTGTGATTCAATGAAGATTCCTACCTTGATGTAGCTTCTTAACAAAGTACTCCGGATAAGATCCACCATTTTGTTTTGTACACGTATACTGTATACACATGCTGCCTTTATTCTCTGTCCAAATAGTGTTTTCAGGTACACATCTATTGTTCCATGTACAACCTGTATTTTAAAAGTGAAGCATACATTTTGTCAAAACACTAGTACGAATTACATATACCCTCGTTGTATTGAACATTGATTTCTTTATTAGATTTTATAAACTTTAATTACCTCCCTTTAAGACCTCTAAGTATCGCATGTTCTTTTGATATGATTTGCAGAGGTACCATACACAATTCTTCTTCACCTTTTCTCCTAGTTTTATCATATTTCCACTTTCATCTTCACATCCTAAAATGTTTCATAAAAATAACTACTGGGGTATTTTCCTTTTTATTCCTTTAAAAGCTTATTTGATGATAGAAAAAAATCTGCTTCATATTTTAGTTTAAAAAAGATATCATAAATATTTATTACCCCATAGAAAAACCTCCAATATTTAAAAGTGAAACCTTTTTTTTTGTCGAAAAGATAAAACTAGCTAGACGCCCACACTTAAAGTCAGATAGAACCTTTTCAGGTTCTTTTCATTTTTAAAACAATGCTGTTTCTCATGCTCAGAACACATAACATATGGCTAGATTATTGACGTCGCCAAACTGCATTCTTATTCACTTAATTTCCCTTCTCACAGGAGATCTGAGTTTTTGAACTTTGATTTTATTTGAGAATCACAATTACATTGACTAAAAAGAAAATTAAAATACAAATGCCTACCAAGTATTTTTCTCTAATGAAATAAACAAAAGTTATGAACCATACCACTGTCATGTTGTAAATTTTGAATATACCGGGAAAAAATACAAAATTTACAACATGACAAGTTGTCTTGTAAATTTTGTATTTCCTGCCACCCGGTATATTCAAAATTTACAACATGACACCACTCCAGAGCCTATTATTATAAAACTTAAGATATTAGACCGAGGATTATAACACACTTAATATAGATAGGAAAACATATTAAGATTTGAATATACCGTACAAGATAACTTGATACTTTAGAAGAAAAATTAACTTATGTTGAATGTAACTCTCAAAGCTCACACTCTCTCATAATGCTAAAAAGGAATTTTATCAAAAGCCTAATAACCATACCACAAGTTATAGGCTTGTAGTAACAGAAGTAGATGACGGTGTTATTTGTTCCACGTTTAACCTCTGGTAGTGAGCCATTCTGGTAGAGTGTAGTATTAACATTTTCGTCATCAAACAGGAAAAACTCGAGACTGTGTCGCATACCTACAAGTTAAAAAAGACCCATGAACCAGTTTTATATTCATTCCACTCTTTACCCAAGTGAAATTTATTAAAAAGGTAAAATGATCCATTACAATTAATGCAAACACTATCAAACATATGTGCATCAAATTAACTTTACTATAAGGCTTGCATTTAGTGCAATATATTCAATTACAATTTCAGAACTTGGAAAAAATATTTCTTCTCATCGAAATTTGATTTATCATATCACCATTATTTGAGTATATAGTACAGTTAAAAGCTTACCTCTAACTGACTGACAATCCGTGCTACCATTAGCCATAAACAAGACGAACGGTTCATTTTTGGGTAGAATGATGGGTATTTCTATGTCTCCGTCAGATCGGCAACAAAAGAAAAACCCTGTATCCTTATCATAGATTCCATCAGGGACAGACCCATTCACGGTTTGCATAAATTCTAAACCATTAAGATCATCCATTCCAACAAAGCCCTCTCGAAATCCTAAAAGGTCAAAAGCATTTAATCATTGACGAATAATTGGTATTTCTCTGACATTTTTGATTATGCACTATTGTTACTCCCTTAAGTTCCAACATAGAATTTTAAAAAAATATGTTAGAAAGTCCATACCGCTTGGACACTGGCCCAACTTCCGGAATATGCAATAGTTCCCAGCATCCCAGTAGGTTTGATAACGAGGCAGCTGGAACGGGTCAACTTCCTCATCATGAATGCAGAAGTAGTGTTCAAAAGAGATCCTTGAGTAGTTACCATACAAATGGAAGGAGAAAGAAGGCACAGATTTACCGTTACTGTAGTGAAGGCGGCTACCATTGCTCCAGGATGGCCGAATATCATTAGGACAACCCTCCTCTGGCATCAACAAACCGTATGATCCCTTTGGCCAATACATCACCTCTACCAAATACGTCTAGACTTGTTTTCAGGTTGTATTTTTTGATATTTAGATTTTTTTAAATGAAAAGATGTATCACAATGGTTGTTGTTAATCTGTTCTTGTTACTATAATATTTTATTTCAGCTACAATGAAATGAAATGGTATTACGGAGATGAAAAAGATGGACAGGTAACTATAAAATGCATGATTAATTAGGATAATGTTAATGTGCTAAATTAAGGCCACCTCTTTTGGTGGTGGATTGAGGGCAGTTGATGTTTAGCTAATAACACTGTAACAAAGAAATTCGAATAAGTAAAGATTACATTGTACTACTCCCTAATAAGGATTACTATGTTCTACTCCCTCAAAGAATTACTTTCTTAGGTTTTCCACTCTGGTCATTTCAAACCAATGGCTTGCAAAATAATTTTTTACTTCAGATTATAATGAGTAAGCAAAGATAAGAATGTTACAGAAAAGATTCGTCTCTGCATACAGGGGTGTGTGAGAGATGTACATAAAATAAACAGAGCAGAATTCAATAAGATTTTTTTAAGTCAGTGTAGAGTCAGAATGCAGATTATTATTTTGTGAAACTAAAGTGTTATTTCTAAACAATCTTTATTAACTTTTCTGTTTTGTTATTTTATACATTTCTTTTTACACAAACATAATTGTAGCGACTGTTTATAAATATATGGGAATTAAACAAAAGATCATAAATTAGTGCGCTCATATGTACTTCTTTCTGCTCACCATTGGTCAATTTCTGATATGTCACACTGTTCGAGGCTTGAGTACACTGGTATACAGAACAGCCGTCATGCCAGAAAGAGTTTAGTGACCTGCACTCTCCCTCAAACGTGCATCCTGTTAAAGGAAAGTAGTTCAATGACCCTTAGAAAACTTCAACTTATGCTGCAACAACAGAAAGTGGTAAATATCACCAACAGGGGTACAGAGACTGGAGCACAATTGTACTGCTGTCATATTAAATTGGATGACTGTGACCAATCTCTCGACTCACAGTTTGTGTTGCTCACAATCTCTTCAAGTCGTTGTTAATCGTGCTGCTTTTTTGATAAATTTTCACTGTATCATTAAAGAATGGCTATGAATGACTACTCAAGCAGATTTTTATTTATGGATAGAAAAATTGTGAAAAGGTCTACATGAAGACGCACAACTCATCGTACAATGACCTCTATTCTTAGATAGAAAACAAATGTATAGTTTGTCATCTTGAATTGGAATGATTGTTAGAAACACGGCCAAATAACCACAAATCAAGAAAGTCAATATCTAGTGAATCAATATAGATCAGGTTTTCTTGGTACGAAGCTGATTTAAAAGGAAATGCTTATCATATATGATTTTAAAACGATTAATATAATATTTCGAACGATAAAAAATGCATAATACATGCAAAACAGTAAATGTTTACAATAAAGTTTCTGTGTATACACGACATATATTGTAGCTTTAAGCATTTTACTGAGTAAAGTTATGCCGAAATTACAAGCTTTATTCCTATGACTTTATTTGATTCTATATACAGATTTATGAAAGACAATTTTATTTTTAAAACATGTATTATGACTTTTCCTTTTTTATTCTTTATTCCAACTGTATCATATATATATATATATATATATATATATATATATATATATATATATATATATATATATATATATATATATATATATATATATATATATATATATATATATATATATATATATATATATATCTCGATCGGCTGGGAGGCGGCCTGAGTTTCGTACAGTACCACTTTTTCCGCTTTAACATGTGTATAGTGTCTATATTGGTATATATTCATAGATCGACATATTTCACGTGCTTAAGGACTAATGACCCTCTACCTAAATTTCACAAAGTTTTTTTAAACTTCCCAACATTGATTTTCATCAAGAGCTATAGCATCAGCTTCAAATGGAAAACAGTATGAGGCATGAAGCGCTGCTTATTTTTTCAGAAATGATTTTTATGTCGGATCATGATATGAAGAAATTTTAACACAGAGGATAGAAAGAGTAATGATTTAGTATCACAATATAAAATTAAAAATATGAGGTGTATATGAAAATAATAATTAGTATCACACCTATTAAATTCATATTAGAAAAAGTAATAAAGCGCTGCTTCCTAAGTCATAATATCACAATGTTGTATGTAGTTGTAAGAAAAAAATTCATCTCTTAGCAAGAGTTATCTTTCTTATAAATATTTTTTTTCATTGGGGAAAAATGTAATACTAATAAAAATTCTACATTTGGTACTTGAAACATTTAACCATTTTTAAAATGGTTCTTAAAAAGATAGAACTTATTCAATTTATAAAGCTTTTATTACTGAATTTAAATGTTTTTTGTTAAATATAATAAAACAATTTGAAAAGTATAAGCAAAGGAAATAGAAGCTTATGTTTCCATCATATGTCAGGTTTGATCGAATTGACTACTCCAAGGTCTCGATAATAAAACTCTGACAATGAAAACTATGAGTAGTATTCATATTTTTTACTTGGAAAGTTATTTCTCTTATCAGAGGGTCGGTACCCCTTAATATAAAAAAATATTCAATATTTACGGAATAGATGTACTTGACAGTAGTAAAAGCAGTTTTCGTACTACTCAAAGCTCAGAGAAAAAGTAAATATGTTGTTCTCGCATTCGAGAGATTGTCACTCATATAGAGACGTCACCATAAACCGGCGAAGGGCTTCAAATTAGACCTTTACTTGGCACTCAAGACAATTGCACAGTGAGGGATCTTTATTGTGTCAACACTTGCCTCGTCAAGGGGCCTCGGTTTTTTAAGGACTCATCCGAAAGACCTGCAACTTTCAACTCAAAGTGCCGAGCGCTTCGCGAAGGAACAGTTGCTACCTATTTTTATTGGCTGAGGTCAGTATGTTCATTATATACTGATTACATACTTGCTGTCAAGAGAGCTGTTAGGTCATAATCAGAAAACGATTTATGCTTGAATGATACACGCTCTGGTTAATCACTTTATATATACGTAAAGGTAGTATTCAACATTAAAGTAAAACCATATATGTTATCAAGTTTTTAGAATATTTACCCTTTGTTAGCGTAACCAAATGGAAGCAGGAACCATTCACTATTTGGCACTCAACCGTATCACAATTTTGAGAAAACCTTTCCCCAACGGCTCGACAGTTACCATTCGAGTCTAAACAACCTGAGAAAATTTAATTTAAATTGATTCATGAACTGATGATATTGTTTACAAAAGAAATGCATAAGATAGCACAGAATAATTTTGTATGATGAAAATTGTTTTGTTCATGTAATGTCAGAAAAATGAATTAATTGACAAGGTTGATTACGCACAATTACTTTTTAAAGCAATTATTATGTTCACTTTACTCCTATGTCTACTTTAGCCTTACCTCCCTCCACTAGAGAATAGTGAGAAATTTCATCTGTAGTATTACATCTATAAGTAAAGCAGCGCTCCGTCCACGTGGTTCCCGAGTTCTTGCATGTTCCCTTATAATCACAACCTGATAAATACACAGCATCATTATACACATAAAATGATTATACAAAATATATAAAAATAAAAAATATAAAACATATATTAAAATGTGGAACCTTATATAATGTGTTCCTTCCTACATCTGAGTGTTTTCTAGTAGCAGTATATTGGGTTGCTGGAATTCGTAACTTTTTTATGCTTTATAAATATTTTTTAAAAAGGTGTAGAAATATGTATGAATTTTATATCATAATACATTTATTTAGTCGATGTATAGGTATGTAAAAGCCCTCATATAAAGTCATCTAATTGTACATGTAGTTTTCATCAGGAACTTAGAACTCAATTAAGGTAGAATTTCGAAGCAGTCAAATTTTTAAAACATTTTTTTGAACATAAAACAATATTTTCATCATGTGTTGTATATATAGATATGAAATACATGTAGTGTAGAGAGGAATTTGAAAATATTTTAATATTTCATAAGAGTAGGACTGGAATATCTCCGTTGCACAACTCCATCGAAAATCTGAAAAGTACTCCATCCCACTCTACCCCGATTTGAGTGGTCCCTTAATAATGTTAACAATGGCTATTAAATAACTGACTTGTAATTTTTATTAAAATTATCAAGATTCAGTGCAAATAGTTGAAATGACAGATGTTAAGAGAGAACCTTCTTTGATAGCCCTGTAGAAACCATTGACACATTCATATGTTGTACATGGTTGTCCACGCTTTGTCCATTGATCTCCGTGATCATAGTTGATACCATCCATCAAGCATGGACAGACAGGCTTACAATTCCCTACATAAGTACATAAAGATTCCTGTAAAAGTACATCTGTATATGGATCATATGAGGATAAGTACACACTTAACACAAAACCATTGTGTTTATTTTACTCCACAATTTCTGTATCAGGTATCATAAATACATGCGTATATATGTATATGAACATGCCCCCTGCGTCACATGTAGAATCAAGGCATGTTTTGCATAATGAATACAAAATAAAAGAAGGTACATCTTCAAACATAGGAATTTCATTTATTAACTTCCTTTGATTAATTTTTAGGTTTTTATTATTGTTTGTTTTACCTTGTCCATCATAAATGTTGAGAGGATTACTTCCAAGCGACTGGTCCCAGCTGACAAGTACCAGAAGCAATAGAAGTAAATTCATATTACCCAGCCTTTCTTATCACTGCATTTCTCTTTTCTGAGACGAAGATAAATTAATTAATTAGTATATCCAGGTTTATAAGACAAACATGAGAACTCAACAAAAATGTTAATGATAAATGTTTTATGGTGATTTAAACATTTATCAAAATTTGTGAAAGATCATCGATCGTCTATCAATGTTCTTCTTTTCTTAATATTCGAAATATGCTTTTAATTTCTACATATAAGCGATGAATACGTTCTACTCATATTCTTATGATATAAAGCTATAATCACCTACAAAACAATTACTAACCTTATAAATAAATTTAATAACCAGAGGCTGGTGTTTTCAAGTGCAGTGTTTAAACGACACCCAAAATTAATGAAATCCTGCACTCCAGTGTTTATGGCATCTTTTTATCATATTTCATCGATTGATAAATTCACATTTCTTTACTCGTCACCCTCCCAGCTGTTACCCCCTTAAGTGGTAGCTCTTTAGACTTGGTCAATACTAAACACGGTCTATATACGATTCCCCACCACGTCTGTAATCAATTAACCAGGTATTATCCTATATATTTGCACATGTCCAAAATTATAATTGATGAAGGGATACCTTGTGACGTTCTGATTTTAATCAAGTTTTTCCCCTTGCGAAGTCGGGATGCACTTAATTCCCATATATCTTAACCCTTTCTTTAAAAGTGTAAGACTGGTATATTATGTAACATGCACAACGTGATAAAAAACTCTCATAATTGATTTTTTGTTATCAATTAATATATGTGATATAGATAATCATAGAATGTTGTAAATTTTGTAAATAGCAATTTTCATTTTTTTTTTTTTTTTAAATATTTTGAATTGTTGATGCGTAGAATTATATTTAATCTAATCTTTTTGCTTTATTAGTTACATTATATATAATTTAAATGCAATTTCTGGACTTATGTTGTTCGGTTTAAATGCTACATTACGTTATAGTTAATATCATAAACCTTTCACTTGGAGTGGATTTAGAAACATAACTAGTACATACTTTCCAAGCAATTAATTTTCCTTTTAAAATAATGTGCAGTTTAAATAACAAACAATGATTTAAATACAAATTTTAATCTCAAATTCAAGAAAAACAAAACAAAACTGTATACGTGAATTTGACTATATTTTTCACGGAAAGTATGAAAAGATAAATCATGTAGCTATATTACACCCGAGGGATTCGAAAAATTCTGTCATTTGTCATTTTTTTGACATTCTTATTATTTGTTACAGATGTTGATAGGCTGGTCTATGAATATGCATACCCATAATTCATTTGTTGGAAGACTAAGGTTTTCATTGTACTCTTCTTTATTCTTAGGATCTAGATATCCAATTACATCTAATTGCTAAAATCAAAGGTAAGGTTTTTTTTCTTAATCAAATCGTACCCGATAATATTGAACAGTAACGTCTCAATATCTTTAGTGTGGGTGTTGAAAAAGTATATTCTTAATAAGCATTCAGTAAGGCTTTATTCCAGATCTGCCAATGCCAATACCTCTTGAATGTTTCGATAATTCTATATCATATCTTCTAAAGTACTTTTTTTTTCAACAGAAACAATCCACTTCACCATCATCCTTAAGAGAAAGTCAAGTTTATTAACTGAAATTTAAATTGAAATTGAAGTAAGTTTTAAATATAATCTATTAAAAAAAAGAATTGAGGGTGAAAAAGTCATTATTTCCTTCATCTCTTATTTTCTGTCTGAAATAAACATCACTTAACCAATACTTTTTCCCCATGTCTAGATGAAGAAAGTTCAGTCTTTTCATAAATTTTTCTTCTTGGCTTCACTACTTTTAGGTAAGAGTATAAAAGATATAAAATGAGTTAATTAATCAATTTAGACATATTTTGGCACTCATAAACCAGCTCGCCTGTTCCTATGATGTTTGGTATGTTTGTGTGATAATATGGATATCTCAGCAACAAATAAATTCAAATCTCCTTTTTTATTCAATAGGATTTGTTCAGGACATTTTGGCACAAGGTAAGAGATAATAAACAACAGCATATACTTTTAGGAGACCCTTACCATAAAATGCATATTTTCACGGATTATGTACGTAGAAAGAAAGCTGCAAAATAGTAATTGTATTACACCCCTCCCCCCGTATCGATGCAATTTCTTTTTTCATCTTGCAAAAGCAACACGCTTGTAAAGTATGTATTTCTTCTTTAATAGAAGTGCTTGTCAAATCTTTCTGACTCTTTCAATACAATGAATTCGGTTCTTTGGCGAATAGGAAGGTTTGTTTGCAGGTGACAATAGAGTTTGTAGAGCTAAGAGCACCTCTTTTGAACCGAAGAGTCCCGTGTTTGAATTCTGGTCTTGTCACTCGTATTTTACTCTGCTACAGCAAAGACTGATACGAATGTGCATAGTCCACCTCTTATGTTTGATGCTGAAATACAAATCAGTTTATGTTCATTCTATGGTTGATATATATTGTCTAATGCGTTTGGAAGTATTGAAATATTTTTTCAAAGTTACACAGCATGTGTCCCTCAAAGGCAGTTAGTATGCTCTTTGTTGTAGTAAGTATGTGTTTCAGGCGGTCCTTGTTGGGGGGACATGCAATGCAACTCGGCTGTAGGTGGTGGTTTATGTAACCCTGGAACTAGTACCTGTTCCTGTCTGAAAGGATACACAGGACCGTATTGCCAGACAGGTAAGTCCATATTGCCAAATAGGTAAGTTCAATTTCACTTTTCCAGAAAAAGGTGAGGATAATGAAGAGTGATCAATCTCATAAATCCAGTATAGAATACGAATCGGACATCTGGAAACACGAAAAGGGGGAGTTGTCTGAAGGCCAGTTGCGTACCTACGGCTCAGATAAGGACAGCTCATCTGTTGATACGCGGATCATGTAAGACGTGTTTAAACACCAGCTGAATAGGGCTTGTTAGTTACCTAATTTCACAACACTTAATATAAGTTACATTCCACCATAATGATATTTCAAGTTAAAGTCTACATCCTGCATTTCCTAAATATATTCCCAAACTGCTGCTTCCAAACTTTTCAATTACAGAAAAACCTTGCAGCGAATAGATATTGAACATTCATACAAAATCCTCTCAAGTGTTTTTTCTCTTCTTCTTTCAACTACAATCCCGCTTGACATGTCATTACTAGTGTTGTTAATATTGTTGAAAATAACGACTTAAAAGCAATGATCTTAAAAAGACATAAAAAAGGAGCCCAGATCTTTTAATTGGCGACAGACCTTCTTTTCTATTATGAAATCTGTCCAAGATTATGCCAGACGTTGGGCTAAATATGAAGTTCAGAATGGATTGTGCTTTAGAAATATCCAGAAGAGTTGTGTTAGAAAGTAAAATGGCAATATGAAAACCAACTATGCTTCCGCTTTCACTAAATTTTAGGTGATAAAAGAATTAGTCAGACAATATGACCAATATGTTATGGTCCCAGCAGACAAGGTTGTAACAATATCGTCTTTGTTTATAAGGCTCATTATTTTAACTGTATTTTAGAAGAACTTGGTTTTGATTCTATGTCTGGAAATCCAACATATACTCACAGTTCACTTTCTAGAGATGAAATTTCGAACGGAAATTTTGTTATTGGTTATCAACAAAATTACTGTGTTAAATATTATACACACAAGTACTCTGAGGTTGATGTTAAAAGGATGCTGGATTTTCTCATTGACAACATTTATATAGTCTTTGGAGACCAGGTCTTCCAATGATCTGTTGATACTGATGGGAACTATTAGCCGACATGTTTCTTTATTCCTATATAGCAAAATTAATTCAAAAACTTTTATATAAGAAGAAGGAAATACTTGCTTTGGCCTTCAACTCGACATTCAGATATCTTGACGACATCAATTAACAACAGTTATTTTCATTCAAATATTGACTCGATATCCCAGTGAACTTGAAATAAAGGTACAAAGAGGCTGACAGATCTGTTTCATATTTGGATGTTTTGCTGACTATAGACGATAAGAGATAACTAACAACTAAATTGTATGACAAAGGAGATGACTTTTACTTTTCCGTCAACTTTCCTCATTATGTAGTAATATATGTAATATATGCAGTAATATTCCGTTGTCACCTTGATATGGTATATATGTATCCCAACTCATTCGATACGCAAAACATGCTCTGAGCACGATCAATTTTTAAACCGAGACAGACTATTGACAGATAAGTTGATGTTACAGGGATTACAACAACCTCGTTTAACGTTAGCATTTCGTAAATTCTATGGCTGTTATAATGACCTTGTTAGCAAATATATCCTATCACTGGGTCGTAATTTTGCTGACGTTTTTCTTTACAATTGTTAAGCCTTTGTTTTATGCTAAATTTGACTGCCAAATAATCCGTCTACCTGATCAATACACAGGGCTCACGGCGGCGTGACTGGTCGACAGGGGATGCATACTCCATCTAGACACCTGATTCCACCTCTGGAATTTCCGGGGGGGGGGGGGTCCGTGCTTTATGCCCTGTTCACAGATTTGTATTGTTTGTGGATTTTTTTAGATTGAACTTTCTTCATTATCTTCACTTCGATTACTGTTATTTCATCTTTTTTATTCTTCCCAAATATGTTTAATAATAATGATTTTCTCTTTCCTATGCTTGATACCAAGTTTGTCAAGATTGTGAAAAGAAATTACATTTTCAAAAATGATAAAAGATGATGATTTACAAGACAAAATCCACTTAATTCTTCAATTAAACTATATTAGGGAAAAAAACCAATTTTACAGAGACATGTAACTGCAATTCAAAGTATTATTCATTTGCCACCAATCTTTCATGTATTTTTGTGTTCTTTTACAGCTCCACCTTCAGATGGCGGCTCAACCAGCACAAATAACGTCAGCAATATCAATAGAACCGTACTGTTGCTGACTCTTGCCACGTCATTTTTTATCTTTCTTCGAGATAAACAGTCTCGAGATTTAGATCAGGATCTGT